GTCTTGCTGTTAAATAGCGGTCTAATTATTAAGAGAGTTAAAATAGTTATCCTAGGTGCGTTTTAGGTCGCTATTAATGTATTGTATAGCGTAGACGACTAATGAATAGTCATCTAGCAGGGCCCTTAGTGCATTCCGCTAGTTCAATTTACAATTGCGTATGTGATTATTGTACTACTTGCGGCTAGAGCTATTAAACACGGTACAATCCTTAAGTTTAGCATCCTTCTTCTAGACTAGGACTAATAGTAAGGAAGGCCCTACTGTCGGCTTAGTGTTAGTTATTAGGGCCTCCTAAAGGCGGCGGATTTTGAGGAGGTTCTCCTTTAGCTATTGTTCTTAGCGTAGAGCAGCGAGCCTATTCTAGGTAGCTTCTTAGAGTCTCGCTACTAGCTAGGGGCTAAAGGCTAGTTAGCTATATCGTCGATTAACAATATTGTTAAGAATGTCGTTAACAGGCAATTCTAGATTATCGCCTAGAACTATAGGTTCTTCGGTAGGCCTAGTAGCAGGCTCTTTAGTAGGAGGCACTTTAGTAGGTACTTTAGTAGGCACTTTAGTAGGCACTTTAGCAGGTACTATACTACTAGCGTTGTCGTTGCTAGCGCTGCTAGCGGCAGCACGGTTGTTGTTGCTTCGTAATAAACCTGCTATTATAATAAGGGGTAACACTAATAATGTATTATAGGCCCCTAAAATGCTAATATAGCGGAATTAGTAGGTATCGGTCTAGTATGCTTGACTTAGTGTAATAGGCCGTATAGAAGGCCTTGCTTAATAATTAGTACGGTTGTTTCGATAGAAGGGTACGTATAGGTCTCGTTCTTCGGGCGTAATATAGTCAAATCGATAGTTCTCGTAGCTATACCGCTAAAAGCTTAAAATAAGGACTATCTAGCTACTACCCTTAAAGGGTAGATCGAATACTATATAAGAAGGGTTATATTAGCAGGTAGATAGGGTAGTAGTTAATTAGTATAGTATTCGATAGAGATCTAAGAGGAGAGGGAGGAAGGCAGGCTAGTTAGCCTAACGCTAAGCGCTAAGCCCTACCTAAGGCATTAGGACCCTAGCTTCACTCGGCCTAGTTATATACTAATTCCGTATAGCCTCTAATAGAATCGACAACGCTCCGGAGCTTATTAAAGCTCTTAAGGCCTATCCGGGACTACGAATCGAAACAACGACGCCCTATACTCCGGAACAAAACGGAGTAGTAGAGAGACAAAACCGTACTATTATAACTAAGGTACGGGCAGCTTTAGAAGGGTCCGGATTACCTAAACGATTTTAGGGCGAAGCGGCCTATACGGTTACCTATTTATATAATAGGCTACCTATTAAAGGAAAAGATATAACTCCCGAGGAGCTCTATACCGGAAGAAAGCCTAGCGGAGAACACTTACGGGTATTCGGCTGCCTAGCCTATCCGTTTATTCCTAAAGAGAAAAGGAAAGACAAGCTAGAAAAGACGGCATTCCCTAGAATCTTCGTCGGATATACGAAGTCTACGAAACAGTATAGGATTTATAATCCTAAGACGGACGCTATCGGGATCTATACTAGCGTTAAATTCGACGAATCGACTAAGGGAAGTAGCCTACTATCCGGAGAAGAGCTACCTACCCTACGGCCTATTACGGACAACGACGACGGAGATATCGATATCCTAGATAAAGGAGAGTCTCGAGAAGTAGAGGAAGTAGAGGGAGACTCCGAAGCCGAAGATAATACTACGAAACCGTAAGACGAAGAAGACGGTTTAAATAAAAACGACGACGAAAGGTCTACTACTCCTACGGCTTCTACTACTACGGATTTAAACGAAGGAGAACTACGAAGGTCTACGAGGGTCCCTAAAGCACCTAAGAGACTAAGGGACGAAATAGGGCTAGCAGCTCTAAAAGTCGACTATCGAAAGGCTTTCGAAATACCTACCTCCGAGACCTATACGGAGGCTATTACCGGCCCTTACTCCCGATAGTAGAAAGACGCTATTAAAGAACACATCGAGTCCTTAACGGCTAACAATACCTACGAGATTGTCGACTATTCTAAGCCAAAGGACGGAAAAGGGCAAACAAACGTTATTACTCCGAAATGGGTTTTTAAAGTAAAAATACTACCGAACGGACAAATCGATAAATTTAAGGCGAGATTAGTAGGAAAGGGCTTTACGCAACGCTACGGAATCGATTACTTTAAGACGTTTTCTCCGGTAATACGTCTCGAAAGCCTACGCCTTCTCCTAGCTATCGCCGCTAGTAAAGGACTTGCTATATTCCAAATAGACGTAGTAAGTGCCTACTTACTAGGAGAACTAACGGAGGAAGTCTACCTAGCTATCCCGGAAGGCCTAGATGTTCCCGGAACTAATAAAGTACTTAAACTCCTAAAAGGAGTACCGGGACTAAAACAATCCGGACGAGTTTGGAATAAGACTATTACGGCCTTCTTTGAAGAATACGACCTCTACGCTATACCCGCGGATCAATCGGTCTTCGTTAATAGCGACTATACGCTAATAGTCGCGTTGTACGTCGACGATTTTATTATACTAGCGAAGACAGAGGCGGAGGTTAAACCGCTAAAGGACGGGCTTATACAGAGGTTCGAAATGAAGGATCTAGGTCCCGCTAAGTTTATACTAGGCGTACGAATCGAGAGAGAGGCCGACGGATCTATACTACTAGATTAAAGGCACTATATCGAAAATACGCTTAGAGAAGAGGGCTTAGATCTAGACGAAACCTTCCGAGTATCGACTCCGGCAAACGGATATACGAATTTACTACCTATAACAAAGGACGAGGAGGTAGTAGACGTCCGGAGATACTAACGACTTATCGGAAAACTAAATTAGACCGTACGAGCTACGAGGCCGGATATATCTTTTCTAACGCAGAGACTAAGCCAATCTACGGTAAATCCGGCTAGGAGACACTACGACGGAGGTATCTACGGCCTTAGATACCTAGGGAACACTCGGGACTACTATATAAAGTATAGTCCTATCCCGAAGAACGAAAACAATACGAGTACTCTAGTTACTCGTCTACCGGTTATCTATACCGATTCGGATTACGCGGCGGACTCAACTAGGAAGTCAACGATGGGATATATATCCCTACTAGCCGGAGGACCTATATCTTGGTCTACTAAACTATAAAGGTCCGTAATAACTAGTACTACGGAAGCCGAATACTTAGCGCTATCCTACGCCGTAAAAGAAGCTATTTAGATCCGAAATTTCCTCGAGCAAGTCGGATACCTTACGGAAGACGACTATAAAGAACCTACGATTATCTACGGGGACAATAAGGCGGCTATCGCTTTAGTACGAAATCCGGAATTTTATTCTAGAACGAAACATATCGACGTAGCAGCACATTACGTACGGGAACTAGTCGAGGATAAGCTAGTCGATATAAAGTATATTCCGACAAAGGACTAACTCGCGGACTTCCTTACTAAGCCCCTAATAAAAGGGAAGTTCGAAGAAAACGTAAAAAGAGTCCTAGGGACAATAAAAACGATTAAGAAGGATTAGGACTTAGCTATTTAGTTTACGGCTAAATAGCTAAGTAGAGGGAGTGTTAGAATACTCGGGAATGTACGAGTCTAGTTAGATTTATAAGTAAGAGAAGGAGAAGGAAGTTGCGAGGTTATTCACTTACGGCTTAGTAATAGCTTGTGATTCTTGGCGCTAGGGTATATAAGTAGCTAGTGAGTCCTTTATTCGAATAGCAAGCAATTCTATCGGTTTACCGCTTATCTACAACATGTTGCTACCCTAGCTTTTACTATAAGGATGCAAAGACTAGGCCTTGCTAGTTTCCTACTCCTATACTAGCTTAATTACGAGTCAGGTAGTATATAAGGCCTCGCAACCATACCGCACCTCTACCGCCAAACTTTTCTACAAAATCTGCTACTTGCTAGTAATCGAGTCTACTATCTAGTGTATCGTATATATAGCGTGTAATACACTATGTATATAGCCCTCGAGGTCGCATACCCTACCTCCTTTTAGGCGCCCCGCTTTGTAGGCTACCTAGACCTTCCAACTTGTGTAATACTTCCTTCTATAATAAGTAAGTAACTGCTATTCTAATCAGTTCTTACATTATCTGGCACTATACTATATATATATTAGCGGTCTAAGCGAAGCCTATAGCGGAGCGCCTAAGACTAAACCGTTCGTCCTCTATACAATTACCTGCATTAGATTCGGATATTTATATCTATAGCATTACAACTAAGACCTAGAGAGACAAACCTAGAAAAAGGGTCCTACGCCTTAATAAGAAGATAATATATTCCTATACAAAGCATCTGCTAATACGAGAACTGCAGGCTCAATCTTCTATATAAGAAGACAAGTTGTCCGTAGAATCTACGAGAAATCCTAGATTATCCGCCGCTCTAAGGCTAGAGGATTACTACAATACAGACCTATATATATTGTCGATACTAAGGCCCTTCTACGAGCCGATCTCTAGGATCTCTAGGTAACTAAATAAGCGTTAGAGGGTGGTTGTTTGTATTGCAGAATAGGAGGGCAAATGCTAAGACTTTTGTCGCAATCTGCCTTTAGTCGCAGCAGTTAGAACGCGACAACAACACCTTTTTACGTACTATCTTAGAGATAGAGGGCCTTGTCTATCGCATTAAGAAGGGCCTCGGGCTATTAACAGCGTTATATTCTCGTAGAGGTGTTAAGTTGTAGCCTCGTAGGGCAAACAGCTGTATTCTATAGGCTGTTTTAGCCCGGTTTGTTCTTAGGCTTGTAGGAGAAGAATTAGTTGCGTACTATTGAAATGTCGTGAAAGTCCAATCAAAGCTTAATCAAAGTCGTCGTTACGTAATTCTTTATCCCGCAAGCCTGAATGGAGGTAGCGCATGCCTAGTATATACCTATAGAGGAGTTATATAATACGCGGATAACAGCCGAGATACAGGCTCAGCGGTCGGATTTTCTAAGATATCGAGGTATTAATATGGGCCCTCTCCTGTGTACACCTAGTATACACCCGCATATTACATAGTATATACAAGGGCGATTGCTAGTCCACGGTGGATTCACGTCCCTAGTACTTGCTCTCAACTTGCACCTCTCACAAGCCTTCTTTCCTTATCATGGTTCTGGCTGCTTTCTGGCTCCATCTCGGATACGCTTACGACTTGCATATCGTATTCTCATGCCATGCGGCCCCGCATGTGTAGTATCACATGGTGGGCATACGCGATCTAGACCTACTGTCACGACTCTTGAGAAGCTCTGGTAGCTCACCTCATTCCACCTCGTCACCAAACAATGGAACGACCATCTCGATGCTCGAGCGAAGGAGAATGGCAAAGCGAAAAAGACAACCTCCTTCCTGAGTCCGAATACATCCCACCCTCATCCCATCGTCGCTCAACCCGATCAATAGCACTCATCATACTCTCCATCATCACCACAAACCTCCTCTCAACCCTCCTGACCTACACCCTAACCAAATCCTCCACAATCTCCTCCTACTCTCAAGACCTACCCAGCAGCAAGTCTATCCTCCCCCTCTTCTCCTTCAATCCTCACCTAACTGACCTCCCATATAGCCCCAAACTTCTACCCAAACCTGGACCGCACCCTCCACAAAACCCTCTTCAGCAACCACATCCTCAACCGCACATCCATCTATTCCGCCCCACCTTCAATCCAAGTCGACAGAGCCTGGAACGACCTCGGAGTCAAAGATCAAATTTTCCTGTTACCGGAATCTTACGGGAAAGAAATTGGTTTAGATCCTCGACGCCATGTCTTAGCGCCTGAGAATGCGCTGGGAGAGGGAATTGGTGCGAGTTATGGGGTTTTTGTGCAGGGGTTACATGATATGCATTGTTTGGTAGGTCAAGTGAAACGCAAGGTTAGTTTGTTGTTGGGAGTGGATGCTGACGGTGCTATGCACTGTGCGCAGAATGAAATCCGAAGAGCGTTATATTTCAATAAAGATTACTACCGACAATTCGAAGATGATTCGTTGACGCCCGAGTGGAGTCGGAGATCACATATTCGTGAGTCGTCGTATCACCCGCTGGCGCTTCTTTCATGGCAAAGACTGACGTTTTTTTTTTCTTTTTTTCCTTCCCAGGACATTGTCTCGATAACATGCGAGAGCGAATCATGTGTTCAGCAGACACGGGCGTGATTCCGACCGTTTGGGTGAGTGAAGAAGAAAATTATCCGCTTTTTGGATGGCAGGAACATAAGTGCCACGATTACAAGGCTTTGATGGACTGGTTTCGGAATTGGCACGCGAGTGATTTGGCGAAGAAGGTTGATTGGACTGGGAAGTTGAAGGCGCCTGATGGTGTGATTTTTACGGATTTTCAGAAACTGGAGATGTGATTGCGCGACTGACATGATAGATCAGGCTAGTTAGTCTAGTGCTTCCTTCCCCATGCAATCTTCATGCAGCATTTTTGGAGGTCGGTGTGCATTTGTTGGTGTGATGGCGTGGTTTTACCGTCAAGGAGCTTTTGATCGGCAGATGTTGAGGTTGATACAGAGTGTTAGCCACTAAACGCGGACCGTCGATTCTGAGCAGCGCTATTCGTTGAAACCTATGAAAATGCAGGGATGCCGGACTATCCACTGTTACTCCGATCAAGTCCGATGCGTACTGTACAGTACAGACTCTGTACTTATCCGACTATCTACGATGCTGCCGATTCTAGCGTCGTCGTGGCATATCATCGGACGGTCCATACCAGGTGTTGAAGTTCGGGGCTGCGGCGGCGATACCTTCCAGGTGCCTGGATAGAATTAGATAGCGGCCAAGAACGATGTGCTTCCCACCATGCTTTAAATGGAGATGTTTTCCAGAGCATGCAGAGATCTAGCGACGATTTGTGACGCATCAGCTCAGTCACATGACTGTCACATGACTTCTTGGGATATGAAGAATTTTTACACTGTGTTTTAGTCCATAGAATAGACAGAACATAGGCAATCAACGAAGCGAATTGAACCGCCGACAATGCAGTATTATGTAAGTAATCCACTGCGCTGTGCGTGATACGATTTTCCGCAAGGCGCCATACTCCCTGCATTGGCCTGCTGAATCACTTCTTCACTCCACCAAACAAACCCAGTTCGCGGTATGATATTCCCATCCCCTTCGTGGCCTAGGTCAAGATTCACGGCCCAAAGGAAGGCTCTTGGCGTGGCATGATCGTATGACTAGACATCGCCCTGGTACTGACCCTGCTGCTCCGCAATGCAGCGAGTCTTCGATCGACAAGTGCCTCGTCTGGCCGAATTGATGCCGCAGAAGATTGGTCCTGACCTGCGACATTGGGTGGGGAGGACCATCCGTGAGGCACTGCGCCGACGGCGCGCATTGAATGGTGATCTGATAACATAGATGCATAGCGAGTCGTTGGCACTACATTCGCATGTTGATCGGCTGCAGCCATGGTATTCGAAATCTCTGTACTGTCGGACGCAGTGACCGAGGAGCGCGCGAAAGCAGGTAAAGCTTGAGTAGATGGGTGCTGGCACAAGTGTGATGTGCTGTGCAGGCGACCTGCTGCATCCTGCGCAGGCGGCTGCATTTCTGTGGTTGCACCATTTCCATCATTCGTCCCGTCTCTTTCAACCCAGCAGTATTCGCAAAACCCATGCTTACCCCAGTACTCGTAAGCTGGTAAATCCGCTTGCACACATGATACCAATCCCAGTGGGCGGCCATAGTAGAGCAGATCCAAGGGGCAGTCTCTCGTGATGCGTCTGCACAACTGTTCCGCACGTTGCTCGACGAAATCGGCTTGAAACTGCCACGGGCTTTCCCCTTCAACAAAAATTCCGGCAACTCGGTTCTTCTTGGCATCTCTTCGCCCATTTAGTGACTTGTGGATGTAGTACATTACTTTCCAGCGCGGGCTTGTGTGTTCATCTAGCCCTGCGGTTGGGATGATATGATTCTTGCTGTTGTTCCCCATAATGCGCGGGCTGGAATGCGATGGTGCTGTCTTGAGATAAAGACAAGGCTGTTCCATACGCTTTAACATGCAGCCGATGTTTGCCAGACACAAAGCAATGTCTCAAGGCGCAACGATGGTTTGCAATTCATGTACGGCCAGCAGCTTCCACATGCTGCGATGCTGAAGGTCCCTCACATGGCATTTTGCTCGACATATCTCCTCATGCTGTCCAGCTGGGTCTTGCCAGTGGAAAGCAAATAGCGGATGTGCTGTAGATCGTCGATGTGCCGGAATCTCTCGAACTCGTGCCTGGCAAAATGGCGCATTTCGTCCTTGGTGGCAGAAGGAGGAATCTTATTGATCGCCCGTACGCAATCGCGCCACAAGGCCACTACTCTCTGGCGTTGTAGGAAATGCTCGAGGGTCAGCGTTTTGCCTTTCATCTTGAGCTTCCTGTCCGAATTGATGGTGGCATATCGCCGCAGCGTCACCAGCATCGCGTGGGACTGTGAGTGCTGTCCAGGAGTGTTGGCGAGGAGGCGGCAAGCTGTACATATATATGTCTTGGAGGTTCTGTTCTGAAAAGTTGTCGTTGTGTTCAGCACGGACTGTGTTGTTGAATTGCCGATGCCGGGTTACGTACACGCCCCAAACGCGTCTCCCACTACGCGTCTTTGGCTCCTATATATCAATATCTTATTAGCACCGCACAATGTCGAAGCGCAAAAACGACGCTCTGCTGGAGAGCACCACCGAGCCCGGTACCAAGAAGAACCGCAAGTTTGATCCTGTTGACGAGGCCAATGCTATGACCAGGAAGGACTTCTATTCCCAGACGAATGCTGCCTTCCAATATAAGCCCCAAAATGATACCGTCTACAGTCTGGACCTCGTCCACGCCGACAATTTGCCCGAAAAACAGCTCAACGATTGCTTCAGTCTGATCGAGCGCACAAGCCGCGATGATTACGAGCCCAGCAGCTTTGGCTGGCATCCACGGAGGAAGCTACGCGAAATGAAAGAGAAGGAGATGCGCTATGTTATGCTTACTGAACGTAACATTACGTCTGAGGCAGGGAGTACAAGGGAGAATGAATTTGCCGGCTTCATGAGCTTCATGTTCACGTACGACTCAACACCGCCGCTTCCTGTACTGTACATATACGAGATACACCTGGTGGAGGGCGCAAGAGGCTGCGGACTTGGCAAACACCTCATGCATTCTGCTGAGAAGATCGCTCGAGACTTTGGGATGAAGAAGGTCATGTTGACCTGTTTCAAGAGCAACAAGAACGCTTACAGCTTCTACGAGCGCCTAGGATACCGCATCGACGCATGCTCTCCGAAAGACTTTGAACTTCGCAAGAAGGTATCCAAGAGCGAGTACGTCATCATGAGTTTGGACTTGCGCGATGCGCCACAACAATCTCGACGATCTGAGGGTACTAAGCAGGATGAGGACGCGCAGGTAACAGAAGACGACACGGAATGCTCTACGAGGCCCGCTGACACCCTGAAAAGCTCGGATAAAATCAAGGAGAGCTTAGAGAAGTGTCTGAACGAGCTCAGAGATGAGTACGACCAAAGTCTCAAATTTGACACCGCAGAAGATATCGCTGGAGACGCTTTCGACGCAATTAACCACGGCGATACTGAATCTGCACTTCTACATGCCTCCAGGCTGAGGGACCTCATAGAGCTATTTCAGACCAGAACAATCGCCCAGGCAAAGTTTCAGGCTGCTTTGTGGACGCGGACACAGAGACTTAGAGAGCTCCTGAATTCTGTAGTACACAAAGCCGAATGTGAAGGGGCTGTGCTTCCGGAAGAGCTCATACGTCCTGCAGATATGACAGCATCTGGCCTGAATCCTATCGAAAAGAATCTCATGAATCAAGGCATTGCAGGGACTACCACCAAGATTGGCCCTTCAAGGGCAGAGGTGGAGCTCAGTCGACAGCAGCGCAAGGTGAAAGAGCTCGAGCGTATGGTGGTGTTGCAGCAAAGACAAGCAGACCAAACCCGAACAGCATTTCGGGCTCGCGAACAAGCTTTGTTGAAACGAGAAAGTGCTGCCAAGATAGCTGAGGCACAAGTCGCAATCCGAACGGAACAAATCAACGCCCGTGAAGCTCGAATTGTGCAGAAAATGGTAACATTAGCAAAGGCGTATGATCGTGACGCATCATTGGACGCGGACTCAGAGGCACATTCAGACCAGGGCTCTGAAGATGAAGAAGATGGTGAAGAAGCCTCACTCGAAGATGACGAAGACGACTCATTAGAAGAACCGCAGGAGCAGTCCGCAACGAATACTGAATATAGTAATCAGAGTCGACCGGAGCGCGAAATTGCAGAATCTGATAGCGAGTACGACAAGCCTAAAAAGTTGGCAATCAGCAGTTCGCTGGAACTACCCACCCCAGAAATCATGAAGTGGCAGCGACCAAGAAAAGACCAAGTCAGCACATGGCTTCGACGAAGTGGCTCTGCGAGAGAGACCTTTCCCAGTGGCAAGCGTACCTCTGACATGTAACGCTCCAAGCCAAGGATGCAAACCCGAGGCCGCTCATCTTATATTCAAATCGATTTTAATCCGCGGAAACTCGAGACCAATTCGAATTCATTTTCCAATATTCAAGCACGCAAGCATGAATCTTCTGGCGCGCTCCCAATTCTTGACTAAAATTTGACACGTCCATATTCTTCTGGAAATGCCTTGAAGCTGATGAAGCTCGGGAATGTTCGCAGATCAAGCCGGATCCGCGAATCCTGCCGTTCATCGCGGATTTCCAGGCTGTTGCTAGAAGACATTGGAGCTCGCAGAACCTGAGGCATCCAGCTTCTGAAAGGAGGCAGCATTGGAGCTGCGAGGGCACGCTATACAATTCACAAACATGCCCCACGGCCGCTGCCTTAAGAGGAGAGGCTAAGACGTTTTGCGGGCAGCTTCGCCCTATACATTCTTCGATTAGGACTCCACTTTGTCGCGTCTGATGTTTTACACCACTCCTGCCGATGATCCTTCATCAGCTATCGCGATGCTTTCCAACCCTGCCAGAGTCCCAACCACGACACATTTCATATAATCCCATATGACAACTGACTTTACGTTCTTGCCAGCTTTCGACTCTGCCCATTTGCGCAGCTTGATTTAACTGTTGTGCAACCCACTGTAACTGGTTGCTATGGCATAACATCTTTGGCCCTAAAATTCACTCCCGGAGCTCTTGGCTGGAGGATACCATGGGCAGCATCTCCAATCCTTTGGATATCGGCATCATTGGAGCCGGCATCGCTGGTCTCTGCGCAGGAATCGCGGTGTCTCGAGCTGGCCACAAAGCTACCATCTATGAGAAATCATCATTCAAGAATGAAATTGGCGCAGCGATATCCATCACACCAAATGGGAATAGAGTGCTTTCGAAATGGGGGTTCAGCTATGCCGCAGCTGGCGGGACCGACAAGCTGCAGTTCCGGGGCGTTGATCCTGTGTCAATGCAGCTGAGACATAAGACTGACCTGAGGAATGTGAGAAAGGACTTTGGGGAAGGTTTTAATGCTTTTCATCGAGTCGACTTACATCGCGAACTGAGATTGATGGCAGAGAAGGCAGGAGTAAAGATTTTGTTGAGCCAGGAGGTGGTGGACTTGCAGTGCGAAGAAGGCATCATCAAATTCAAGGATGGCAAGGAAGTCAAAAAGGATTTGGTTGTTGTTGCTGATGGTCTGAAGGTAGGTCCAGAATGCACAGTTTCCTTGTCCACAACGACTAACTCGCCACACAGAGCAACTTCATCCAGACCATCACAGACACCGACATCTACCCAAAGAAGATCGGCAAGTCCGTATTTCGAGGCCTCATTCCCATGTCCGACATCATGTCTGACCCCATCATCGCTCCATTCTTCGAGAACGAAGGCTCAGGTTTCTTCTCCGGCTACTCACCCCTCAACTCTGTTATGTTCATGACGTATCCTTGTCGAAACGATGAGATCATGAATGTAGCAGTCTTCCATACTACACGACCCGGGCACGAAGATGACGAAGGATGGAGTTCGCCAGCCACCATCAAGGAAGTGTTGAGTGTGCTAGACGGCTTACATCCTTTCTGGAGCCAGATCGTAAAGAAAGGAGATGATGATTTGTTCAAATGCTTCCCGATCACATTTCGAGATGCGATTGCAAGGTACAATAAAGGAAGAGTCATCTTGATGGGCGATGCAGCACATCCTATGCAACCTACTCACGCTCAAGGTAAGACTTGCTCGCACGAATACTTAACCTGCTAACTTTCTCTCTCCCCAGGAGCCTGCGTCTCAATCGAAGACGCCGCAACCCTCGAAGTCCTCCTCTCTCAATGCAACTCCCCGGACATTATCCCCTCCTTATGCCAACTCTACTCCGACTTCCGCATCCCACGCGACAATACCACCCAACTCTACTCGAACGTCATGTTCTACAAAAACGACGGTGACCCCGAAGCCGGGAAGAAATACGAAGCTGAAATCCGAAAGTTTTATCCCGCTCCAGACGAACTTATGACTTTTGTTCAAACGCCTTGGGAGGGTCCGCATCAGAGGCTTTGGTATGGGTATGATGTTTATCAGGAAGCTGGGAAAGCGGTGGAGTGGTGGAGGGAGAGGGATGGAGAGGAGAGGTTGCCTAGAGGAGTTGTCAAGCATTTTTTTAATTTGGGGACTAAGGAGGGGGGATGTTGAGGGTGTGGAATGAACGGCCTACAGTATGATGCCTATGCCTTGAGGTTTTGAGATAGCTATAATTGTGTCACCAGCTCAAAATATGCTATAGCACCAAGTTCCGTCATCGTCATCGTCATCGGCTGCTTGAACTCCAGTCGCTTTCGTATTTCACCGCTCGGTCTCGCGCCGTGATATTCCTACCAACGGATATACCGAACACTCAAGTCCGGAGGTGACACCAGCAACACCCGCTCCGTTCTCGCAAATGTTCTCTAACTTGCTTCCATTCAGATCCGGGCAAAAACAAAATTCTATTCCAACTGCTCGACTTTTCGCCCGGTTGTAGAGAGCAGCGGTAGTAGAACTAAATCCAGGCCAGGGTTGCTGATTGCATCATCAATCGGCAGCACATACCACCCATGACCGCCACTGTCCATGGCTAGCTATGGCTATTGTAACAACCTTGAAGGACATAGGTAGAACAAAACAAATTAAACTCCCGCCGGATTCGTTCCTTCCTTCCTTTCTAAACTCCAGTCTTGAGATATTATAAATAAGAAGAAAGCGCGACTCACGGCTCACTCTGATCTGAAGCAGACAAGAATTTCAAGAGTTCTACTACTACCTTCAATCACCATGACCTCGATCATCGACAAAGCAAAAGAGAAGCTCCACATAAGCGGCGGCCACAACGAAAAAATTACGATGGCAGGCCAAAAGATTCATGGTACGGGATATGGTCTGATGGGTCTTACTTGGAAGAAAACACCGCCACCGCAAGAACAGTCTTTCGCAGCTATGAGTGAGTTTACAAGTTAAAATTTCTATCGTGCGTCTTGTCTAATGATACACTTATCTATCTATCAGAAGCCGCCCTCGACGCAGGAGTTAATCTCTGGAACGGTGGAGAAATCTACGGAACTGCCGACTCCAACAGCCTCCATCTCCTCCATGCATATTTCACCAAATATCCTGAAGATGCTGAAAAGGTTGTGATTTCTATCAAAGGTGGGATGAAGTATGGAGAACTGAAAGTTGATGGGAGTGCGGAGAATACTCGGCGCAGTATTGATGAGTGTTTGAAAGTTCTGGATGGCAAGAAGAAACTCGATATTTGGGAATCTGCTCGTGTGGATCCCAATACACCGATTGAGGTGACGATGAGGGCTGCCGAGGAGTATGTGAAAGCTGGGAAGATTGGTGGTGTTGCATTGTCCGAATGCAGTGCAGACACGATTCGTCGTGCGTCGAAGGTTGCTAAGATTGAGGCTGTCGAGGTGGAGTTCTCGATGTGGTCGACTGACATTTTGGAGAATGGCGTTGCACAAGCGTGTGCAGAGCTTGATATTCCAATCGTTGCGTACAGTCCTATCGGCCGTGGATTCCTCACAGGACAGGTGAGCTCGTGATCTGCTGCTAAAAGAGCTGCGAGCAGGTGCTGACGATTTGCAGGTCAAGAGATTCGAAGATATCCCAGAGGATGATATGCGCCGACATATGCCTAGGTTCCAGCCTGAGAATTTCGACAAGAACCTGAAACTTGTCCACGAGCTTGAGAAACTCGCCCAACGAAAGAACGCTACGCCAGGTCAAGTCGCTCTTGCGTGGGTGCGGGCGCAGAGCCACAAGCCCGGCATGCCGCTCATCATACCTATCCCAGGCGCATCGACTGCGGAGAGGGTGAAGGAGAACTCGAAAGAGATCAAGCTAAGCGACAATGATCTCAAGGAGATCGACAGCCTGATTGAGAGCGTTGAGATTGTCGGCGGTCGATATGACGAAGCTCAATCTGCCCTCAACTTCGGCAGCACTCCACCACTGCAGGAGTAAGTGAGAAGCGTGTGCTGTGATGAAGTCAGCCTCCCACGCGAAAGAAGAATGCATGTATTGAGTTTGCGACAAGGACGATGCCAGAAAGGAAGTCAGATCAAGTGTAGTTTAGAATAATCCGCATTCGGCTTCTGAAGATAGCTCCGAAGAGAAATCCAAGGAACCGTAAGCATTGCAGAATTCTTGCCATTCATCATAGGGATAGGGGAAGGATAAGTCAAGCGAGAGGGACGCTTCGAAGACTCACCATAGGTTGTCCAGACCAGAGCGCGCAGAGATGAGGCATGTTGCAGTCCATTCCTCTGCTGTACAGGATTTCCTGACATTCGTCAAGCCCATGGACACACACGCAGCCTGATACCCTTCTCTTCATATCTGCATGGAGAAGCATTCCGCATTCCCAACCAAAATAACACCTGACAAGAAGCTACTCATCCTCACTTCTCACCCCACGATATTGGTTATATTCTCCGCCCCAAAAACCTCCAATTGCCTATGCCCTTTCCTGAGAAGAAACTCAATGGCCCCAAAATCTTTCCGATCCATTCCAAGATTCTTCTCGAATTCTCTTCGGGCAAAATTTTTGAAATTCTCGCGTGTGGACGCGGGCTTTTTTCGTGCGGTGCGGAGACATTGGCGGTATAAGGAGAGGACGTCGCGTTGGAGGCCGGAGAGACGGGGCATGATGTTAGGGGGATTGCGGCGCGCGGAGGGCCATTGTTGATTATTGCGTTAGTGAAGGGATTGAGGACTGGGCTCGGAGTCGAGGACTTCATGACGATGGAGCTCGGACCACAGCGTGGAGAATATACTTTGAAGCTTCAGTGCCTTCTATGACAACATCCAAACAACCACACTCAATATGTAGTCGTACTTCCACCCATCTCCTCAACCCCAAAAAGATGCCCTCCCAAACCCTCGACCTCCTAATCCTCGGCGCAGGCTGGACCTCAACTTTCTTAATCCCCCTCCTAAAATCCCAAAACCTAACCTTCGCCGCCACAACCCGCGACGGCCGCAACAAAACCCTAAAATGGTCCTTCGACCCCATCAACCCATCCTTCACCTCTCTCCCCAAAGCCCACAACATCCTAATAACATTCCCCCTAACCGGAACCTCCCAATCCAAAATTTTAGTCTCAGGTTACACCTCCCACCACAAAACCTCCCCCTCCTCACATCTCTTCATCCAACTGGGTTCCACAGGAATATACCAAATCCCTCAACCGTCACATTGGACGTCAAGATCTTCAAATTACGATAAAACGAACGCGCGTGCGATTGCAGAAGATGAAATTTTGTCATTAAACCACTGCGTGTTGAATTTATCAGGTTTATGGGGCGGAGATCGAGATCCACGGACTTGGGTTTCGAGGGTAGCGAAGACGAAAGCTGAAGTGAAGGGGAAGAAGAGTGTGCATTTGATTCATGGAGTTGATGTTGCGAGGGGGATAGTTGCGACGATGGGGAAGTGGGAGAAGGCGAAGGGGCAGAGGTTTTTGGTGACGGATGGGGTGGTTTATGATTGGTGGGAGTTGTTTGTTGGGTGGGCGGAGGGGAGGGAGGAGGGTGAGGGGCCGAGTGAACAGGCGGAATGGGTTTACGAGTTGATGTGGGAAGAGGGTGTTAGGGCTTTGCCGAGGAGTATGGATGCTCTTGGGAGGTGTTATGATTCGAGGGAGTTTTGGAGGACGTTTGGGTTGGTGCCTTTGAAGGCTAGGATTACATACAGAAAGTAGGTCCTCTGAAGTCGACTGATGTGCTGTTTCAATCTATGCATGTATATACGACCCACTATCTATCTCGCACTGCTTCGAAAGGGTATCATCCAAACATCATCAAATCATGTTAACACGTTACGCATACGCATACTCATGCCTTCCAACTCATACACGGAAACCTCCATCCACGTTCCCCCTCCTCGCTCGAAACGTCCGACTCATCAATAGGCAGCCGATTCTCCTCATCTATAGCATCGTCACCCATCGCCATACGTCTAAATTTCTCTCGAATCCGCGGATCACGTTCCATCTCTTGCACAAGCTCCAACTCCAAATCCTCAGCATTGGTATTTTGATTCCGATAAGTCTTTGTGAATTTCCAAGGCGGCCAGAGTCTAGCCGCGATGAGATTCCTTTTACTAGCACCATAAGCCAACTCCATCGTGACCAGAACAGCGAAAGCGATGACGAGTGTAGCCCACCAATTCGGATCTCGACCAAAGACGTACTGGAATCCGCCTTTGACGTCGTATGGCGAGAGGTTGTTGCCGTAGATTGCGCTCATGAAGCCGTTCCAAGCGAACCACCCGCCGACAGTAATGAGGAAGGAGCCGAAGACGATTAAGGTCTTGTAGTGAGTTTCGATCATGAAGAGCTTCCAATTTGTCCAGACGATGCCAAGTGTGAAGCACGCATCGCCTAGGGCAAAGAGTCCTGTGTCGCCCATGATATTGTACTTTCCGTAATTGGCCCAGCATATGAACCACACTACCAACCCGTTAACGGTCGCATGAAGCATCCAGCCAACATACATGGTGAGGTTGAGTCCTTGGTTCCTCTGGCCATACACGTATAGCTCTGGGATGGCGAGAAGAGTTTCTGGTCGTAGATCCTGCTCAAAGATGCCCGGAACGATGACGCACAAGCTAGTAAATAAGGTGTTCAGAACGGTGAGCGACCATTGCTCATACAGTGACGTGCCCGTATATCCGTTGTATCTCTGAAACAAAGCTTGCATCATGTAGAAGAACATCTCTTTCCAGAACGTGAGGAGGACGAATTTTGCAGTCCGCACATACTGATATCGCCCGTGGACCAGGAGCAGTCTCTGTAGGAACCGGAATTGAGCGATGCTATAGTCCGCAACACGCGCCGCTTGCAGACCTTCTTTTCCAGAAATGCCGACACCAACATGCGCGGCTTGAATCATGGCAATGTCATTGGCTCCATCGCCGATCGCTAAAGTCAAGCCAGGCAAGCGAGCACGAATGCCTTTGACGATGTCGGCCTTTTGCGATGGGGATGCGCGACAAACGATGGCAGAGTCAACATTGGCAATGAGAGTCGTGAAGAAGAGCTGCGTGAGCTGCTGATCCGCTTGCACCACACCAAGTGAGTGTCCATCGATGACAATGACTCTGTGAGTGTCTCCATCATGTACGATCTCAGTCATCTGGCCATGGAGGTCGCCTTTGGTAGAGTCCAAGATGTAGATGAGCGACGCCGGTTGACAAATTCGGGCAGCGTGAGCAATGTTGATAGCAGTCTCCCGCTTGTCTCCAGTAAGCATCATGACTCGAATATTCGCCCTTTGCAGGCGATCAATGGTCTCAGGCACACCCTTCTGAAGTTTGTCCTCAATGGCTGAAGCACCCAGAAGATCAAGATTCTGCTCCACGGTCTCGGCTGCAGCTTCAATCTGTGCTTGGCGGTCTTCGAGCGATGTACACGCATCGCGATAGAGCTTGCTCCAAACGGCGTACTCCTGCTCATCGATGTACTTGTGAGAGTATAGCAAGGTTCGCAAGCCGTCCGTTGCGAAGTCGTCTATGTGTTTGAAGCACCTTGTGAAGAGCTCGGAATCATCGATATGCTCAAGATCTCGGACATCTTTATGGAAGCTCGACTTGGGGATTTCTAGCGTAGCTCTGGTGATCGCCAAGGAGCGGCGAATGTCTTTGGAACTTCGCGACATCTGCAGGCTCGGTCGACCGCCGAAGCTGTTTCTAGGCTCCTCGCTCTTTCGAGCCACACTGCGTCTGATATCCATGCTTCGTCTCACCTCCATGGACTTTCGAGCAGCGAGCTCAGATTGTCGCAGTCGTGGGATGATGTGGCTATCGGCACCTTTGCATACAAGCCATATACGACCATCCGGGCAGCGAACTGCAATGGACATGCGCTTGCGCTTCGAGCTGAACTCTATCACATCCAAGATCTCGTACTCCTCGACAGATCCCGTATTTGTCTTGACTTGAAGCTTTTGTGAAGATCGATTGACAAGCAGATAGCCCAACTCCTGTGCCGCAGCAACCAGCGCGACTTCGTCTGGCGACGCGGCCTGGAAATTGATGCGGCCGTCTTTGACCTCTGGAAGAGCTGTGTGACAGACTGCCATGCCAAGAATGAACTCCTTCGCGCGACGTGCTACGGGCGTCGTAGACTCTCTCGCAATGAGCTCAAGCAATTCTGCTGTAGTCCGAGATGGCGGCTCTCGACGGTCCGACGGTCTACGAGACAGCGCCTGGGATGGGCGACCCAACGTCTGTGATATTCGGCTTTGAGGGACAGGTGAGATTTCACGCTCCTCGACTCTGATTGCAGGCATATCGGGGCCACTTTTGGCTTGGCTGTCGTCGGCCGCTTGCGCAGTCGTAGTGGGATCTCCATGAGTCCAGATTAGTCCTGCCACGCTCATAGCTCGAAATCGCATGACGTTGTCTGTAAGCGTTCCAGTCTTGTCCGAGAGAATGTAGCTGACCTGGCCCAGATTCTCGAGAATAGTATTTGTGTTACAGGTCATTGGTGTGTTTGATTCCTCGTCGTACATCTCAACATCGCCTTGAACCATGAGCATCTGACCAATCTTGACAATTTCAAGCGACACGTAGAGTGCCAGTGGAATGACATTATTAAACATGATCAAAAAGCCCACGATGATCTGTTTGAATGCAGGGTAAGCATTATTAAGATACCATGCGCCAGATTCAAAGCGATCATGCCAGAGAATGTAGCCAATCGAGCAGCCGACCGAGAGCACCACGACATAGAATATAAGTGTCAAGACAACCTGGTTGGCGTACTTCTCCAGACGAGGCTTCTTTGCAGTCGGATGGTGGTTCGCATTCATGCGAATCTTGCACTCCTCACCGGTGTTGACAACTAAGCCGTAAATGTAGCCCGTGTTCCGCAGGACACTGCCACGAAACACCACCTCGTTGAGCGTGATTGGTAGTGACTTTCCCTTGATATTAACCTTGCCATAGAAATCGTAAAGATTTTTGTTTGGGTCCTCGAGATGGAAATCAGCGCTGGCCTCTCTGAGCGATGACAGCGATGAGCACATATCCAACAGATCCGGTAGAGCCTGCTTAGTCTTGAGGTTTGTCTCGCCGTCCAGAGCCATCGTATCAATGTACGCAACGCCATTCTCGCCGTCACTGTACAATAGCACAATGTCTGCGGGAATTGCATCGTCACGCTTGAGTTTCAAGATGTCTCCGACTTTGATATCGTGCCATCTGGTGTCCGACCAGCCAAATAACTCATCATCGTCATCATTCTCCTTCTCTTCCACAATTCGCGGAGCTTCAGACTTCGAGCTCACTGCCAGCGCTCTTGAAAGCATGCGTGCGAACATGCTGGTCGGCACCACATGCTCCGTACCCTCAGCACTACCCTTCAATCGCAACACTTTCGCAAAATAATTATTCTCCACCTTATCCATACGATGCCTCTTGAAATCATCATATCCCTCCTTCAGCACCGTTAACAAGATAAAGAACGTAAGCGGTAAGATGGTAGTATAATTTCCAGTGGTAGAAAGTCCAGGAATGGTCTGAGGAACACCTATGCAAATGAAGTAGAAATTCGACAATCGCGTCGCCTGCCAAATGATCTGTTTCGGCAGGAAATCCCAGATCGTGTATCTCGAAGATCGGATCGTGTTGGATATGAAGCCGTGGCCATGACTTCGTCGTTCGTCGATAGGCGGGGCATCGTGCGTGGCGCGAAGAGGTACGTATCGACCATCTTTGGAGGGCGGAAGAGGTTTCTGGCGGAGGATGAGCTCCACGAAATAGCGCTGGTAGCACGACGCTGCTGGTTGTGCAACATGCTTGCTCCAGATGTGTTGGAGAGCGCTGGGCTCGTCCATCGCCGCACGACCCATGTAAACGTTATCTTGAGCAGGCCAGCATCCTCACCATCTAACACTCCGCAAGCGATTGACAGCGACGGAAAGGACAGGTAACGACAGTAGTTTTACACTGGCAAGGCAGAGTGGTAGCACGCTTATTCAGCCACATCCACCACCACCTCCGCTTTCCACATAGAATAGTCGATTTTCAATTGGTCGCATTTTGCCTCCTGCCTCGGAGCCACCTTTCAGTGTTCACGCGCGTCGATGCCACCAGGTCTATATGTGCATGTCCGAAACCTTGAAGAGACGGGAGGCGGCCGTAGACCACAAGACTAATTTAGAAGCCTTTGAAACATTCCTGATCCTGTATGAGGAAGATGACGATTGCAGTAGAATCCTTGAAAGGATCAAAAACGGCATGAATGTGGTGAGGAGCAATGGAAAGATCCAGTGGCAGCATAACAATCATAAGTAGTTCCCTTCATAGCATTTTGCATTGCCTTCGTATTCTAGACACGAACAAAGCTGCATCGTACTTTTCTCAACTCCACAGCGGAAAGACACGAAACTTGCAGCTCTTGCCCATTGTTCCATTCCATTCCCTGCCAGTAGTAGTGGTAGCTCAAATGCATCGACTCCCCGGCCATGCCCAAACGCCGCCCGCCAGGTACAGGAAGCAGCAGTAGAGATGACAAAGCCACTCTACTTCCTGATGGCACGCTGGTAGAATGCAAGCTCCTCGCCCTCCAGAATGTACCCATCCACACGACCAGACTGACCGGGACGGCTAGCAACCACAGCATAAAGACGGCCAGCCTCAAACTGACGCTCAAGAGCAGCCTCGACCTTTCCAAGAGCCTTGTGGCGCTCCTGCTGCTTCTTCTCCACACTCTTGCTCTTCTTCACCTCCTCGGTCTCAGTCTTCGCCTGGCGTCTACGACCCAATGGCTGACCGTAATGAGCCTCATACCACTGACGGAAAGGCGCAGCATCGACCTGGATGATGGCGGACTTGGTAAGGGTGTTGGTACGGACGAGCTCGTTGTTGGAAGGGTGGAAAGCTACACCGATGACGCGGACCTTGCGGGCGATACCCTCGCTGCCCCAGGAGAAGTTACCGGAGTCGATACGGAGGGCGCGGAATTTGCGGTTGCCGCCACGGGTGCGGACGAGGTGGACACGCTTGGCGCCAATACGGGTGTTGGCTGGCTGGCGGCCCTTCTCGAAAGCTCTGTTCTCATCACATCAATAAATGATGCGGTGTGGCAGGAGACATTTCGGGTTATGCATACCTCTTCTTGCGATAGTATGCGCGCTTAGCACCAGAGGCGCTGCGCTTGTGACGGGAGTCACGAGAGATACTGGGAAATGGTCAGCGTGTGTTCTGGAGTAGGGAATGGAGGGTATTGGTATAGAATGTACCCCATGATTGCGGTGTTGGTGAAGTGTCTGTGGGAGAAACGTTAGTGGACTGTCTGACAGGATGTAGACTGCAAGCATTTCCAAGTCGCTGTGGTATGTATGTACGTACTGATTGACTGGTCTTCACCGGGTGCGCTGGGTGTGTTGGGCGATGTCGAGTGTCGTCGTGGAATTCGAGATTGTCAAGGTCTGCAGAAAGCCAGGTCCGCACAAATGCCAAGAGTTGCATTTTGATCTTGCGCTTGATTCGCTGCTTCACGATGGGCACTAGTGGGAAGACCGTCCGCATCAAAGCCTAATTGAGGGTGTCTTTCGAACAGCTTACTTCGATTTCTAGATCTACACAAGTAGAGGCTCACTTTCTGCGCTCATACTATCAATGCCCACAGATCCATACACTTTCAAAGGCACAGCAATCTCAAACGTATCAGCTGGCAGCCACTCTTTACCAACAAATACCGTGCCTCTCTCATCACTGCCGAATTCTTCGAAAAGATCGTGCTCCTCGTCGCTACCACCATTGCCTTCAATACCAAGTCCTTGCACATGTCGCTGAGTGGTGAACTCCACCTTCAGGCGCCAGTTGAGATTGACACCTGTAGTCTCGAATGTTGGGACAGCGCTGGGTGGGATCGTGAGATTGAAACTGATCTGTCTGGCAAAGATGGTGTTCTCTCTTGCTGCGGCATAGACCCTGCGAGTGACACGATTGATTGAGCTGGCGCTACGCAGAGCTAGAGACGGGTCAACATGCTCGGCTGATTCGAGCTCGATGAGGACTGAATAGGTTGGGGCTTGTTGTTCGGCGTCTGCTGCAGTTGAAGGTGCAGTGAAATCGAGGGTGCCCGTCACAGCTTCGCCGATCCTGTAAGCAGGTCGCAGAATAGTCAGGACCGCGACAGGCTCGCCTGATCTAGCAATGTTGAAACGATTTGCGCTCTGAGAGCCAGATTGCCGTGGATTGCCGTTGCTGTCGACTAGATTCGATCGCAAAATTGCGAAATCAATCGCCTCTCTGATATTGGCTGGAGGTGTCTCGATCATGTTGCTGTGCCTCGAGAGGCTGGGTGATGCTGGAGACGCAGGTGAAGTCGGCGAAAGGAGTATGCCGTTCTCGTCGACAGCCCGCTCAAGTAGCCTCTCCGTGTAGCGTAAAAAGTCCTCTAGACCCTGCTTTGGGTTCTTCTTGCTCTTTGGCTCTTTCGTAGATTGAAACTGCGGCCTCCCATCTGGTGTGTTGGGATCAGGCAGCACGCTCATCGTTTGCGCGGCATCTCGTAACAGCACGTAGGGCGACATCAGGTCGTGACCAAGCAGATCACCCCGACTGTCGTAGCTGCCAAGCACGCGAAAAGGTACTTCAACACTTTTCACTTGCTGCCCTTCTGGCCTTTGCACACTAAGTGCCAGATAATACGCAACCTTGATTGCCCTTCCTCGGTGGCTCGGCGGCAAGCCTCTGGGCAACGAGAATCGATAGCTGTAGCTTCTACTTTCACCAGGTGCGAGGCGAAGGTCCACGAAGAGCAAGCTTTGCGGTGTTGAAAGCAGAGGTATTGTTTTTGAACCAGCGCTGGCCTTCATCTGCGCCATCGAGCTCATCTCATCGCCGCCCAGTAATCCACCTAGAGACTCGCCAATATTACCCCAGCCAAGAGCGCCAAACAGGCCAGACGAGCGCTTCGACCGTTCGACCCCTACTACGCCGCCTCCACCTTGGACACCTTTACGCTTCACCTCCTCAAATGGGGCAGCATTGACAAGACTACCATCGAGAGTAAAACTTCCCATCGTCTGCGCATAAGCCATCATGAGAGTCTCCGGCTCCGCAGGTTTGTTTTGCGGCGATCGAGAAGCCTGTCGTGAGTGCGAGAACTTTGGAAGTAGGCGGCCAAAGGTCTGTTGGGATGGTATTTCCGAAGTCAAAGTTTCGTCGCTGTGATTGCTCATCCCATAGAACTCGCTGCTGGTCCGAGGCGTTCCTTCTTGCGATGTTTCTGACATTACTCTTGATAAGGGATTCAAACTGCTCGCGCCACCTGCTTGCCACGCCTCTGGTGGTCGCGGTGAGACCTGCCGCTTGCCTGAATGCATTGTAGAAGGGCTGCGGCCCAGTTTTAGTCTATTCGCTGCTTGAGATTCCGCAGTCGGTAGTGTGCTTGCGCTCATTGGAGGCGAGGCTGGAAACTTGAAGTCCTTGAAACTGCTTTTGTCTTGCTCTTCCGCACTTGCATGTTTTCTCAGACTGCTTTGCCTTGTAAGTTGTGGCGTATTGCCAGTTGAATGAGTACCAGGTCTTCTCCGCCCTGGTCTGATCGGTATCGCTTGTCCAGACGGATCTGTTTCTATCGTAGGTGTAGTGGCTTCGTAGAGAGGTGATGGTTGACGCGGCGAGAGCATCCCAAGGGTGGCAGGAGATTGCGCGCTCAAGCTTGGTGTATGTGTGTATTGCAGACTCGCACTCCTGCCATGCGCTTTCACAGGCCTCTTACCAAGAAGAGCAGTGGGTGTCCTTCCCTCACTCACGGCTTCACTACCCATTGACATGATGGACACACTCCTTCCATGACCTGCGCCGGGTTTTGCACTGCCCGGTGTTGGCGCCTGGTACGAGCTCGGGGGTCCATTGCTTCCTCTTGAAGATGCATAAACCACATTCAAGGAGAGCGTAGGTCGGTGGCTCCGGCCAAGAGGTCCTCCCTTTGTGCTGGCTGCGGTGGTGGACGGCGCTCTTGACAACGGGACTGGTTTGCTGACTTGAGCCGAGCTCTTTCTACTGTGCGGAACTGATCCAAGTACTCGCGAAGTCCTCCTGCTATGGGTGGTACTGTTGCCGTTGCCATTGACTTCATTGTCCTTCCTTCGGCTCGACAGCTTGGCTATGTTCTTGAACGTGATGATGCATTCAATCTCCTCTCCTGCGTACACAGTCGGCTCCTTCCAGCGCACATAAGCTCGTATATTCGACTGCGAGGGGGTGGTCGGCGGCATTGTGACGAGCGGCAATACTGGTATCGCTGGTCCTCTGTGGTGGACGGCAGCTCTTTCATCAGCTTTCCATGGTATCGGCGCGATTGCAGCATTCTCTCGGTGTCTGATCACATCTGGTCCCGTTTACCACCTGTCCGAATGCAAAGGGATCTAAGCTGTGTGCATCTTCGTTCTTTGTGCCCAAGTCAATGATGGCAAACGATCAATAATGCTGCGCTCATCGCGTATTGGTTGGTTGTGCAAGTACGTACTACTGTAGCGGAGCGGAGCGGGAAAGACGCAAAGCACCTTCCACCGGCTCCTGGCATTGCGACAGCGCGAAACAGCGGATATCCCTGTGATCCACAATTCAGGGACGGCCAATTTGGTTGACAAACATGGATACGAGAACTATATTCGTTGAGCATACGAAATGCCTGGGTCAATAACGTCTCCAAACACCTTTTCTATGCTGCGCTTGGCACCGTCTGTGTCGTAGCAGCATCCCTCACAGCAACATCCTCTGGCTTCACTCTCGCTAGCCCCTCCTTAGCGTAGAAATCCATGGGATACGTTCTGTGTTCCCATCCTTGTCGCGCTCCAAGTACAACTAAGGCCTCATACGGCGTCAAAAGCGGACGTGGAAATGCGTAGCCCCAATCTATGCTCAATCGCGGACAAGCCACCTGCACCCAGCATTCCACATCCGGCATCATGGCAAGCTTGCCGGGGAATATCTCGCTGAGCAGCAAGTTGACCCATGTGATACCTTGCTCGCGGAGGTGGTTCTCGATCAAAGTCATTGTGTGTGGATTGCCTTGCCTACCCAGACTTCCTAGGATCAGACCCCATTTGCGAGCCTTCTTCGCCTGAGTGAGAGCATTTGACCGATCGCTGAGCAAGGTGTCGTGATCGTAGGTCTCGTGTGTCAGTCGCCGTGAGTAAGGATCATACCGATATGCAGGTATTGAAGGGTTGTGAATCATAGCGCTCTCCAGATGGAATCGACCATCGCCGAGATACAATATGAGGTCCACGGCTTGCTCCTTGGTCAGGTGAGGTGAGGTACAGCCTAAGATTTCGCCTTTTGAAAGTGGCATAATCTGCGGCACAATGATGTTGTATCCTGCACTCCGCAGCTGCTGAGAAGTACCGTGTAGCGTAGCATTGAACTGAATGGTACCTACCATGGCGATGGTGCTGCCTGGCTTGAAGTTACGCTCGATAGTAGCGAGCAAGTGTTCGAGATCGATTTGAATATCGACAAACACGTAGAGTGTCTGGATCTTGGTCACGTTGACGGGGATCAGACACGAGTGAGCGTAGTGAACGAGCATGTCACAGCCTAATGCTCGAGCGGTGTAGTCATCGATGCAGCAGGCTCCGTAGGTCACGTCGCCCATAATGAGCGTGCTTGCACCCGGACAGAACTGTGTCAGGATGTCAGAGATGGTGGTGGCAAAGAGCAGAAGTCCTTCGGGCATCTGGAGAGCGATCTTCTTCGCGCCCGAAGTGCGTATCCTGTGGATGGTCTTGTGCAGCTCGAAGTTGTAATTCTTCGGCAGCAATGCAATAGCATCATTGATGTCTTTATCATGGAGAATGTCGTCTGGCACATTGTTCAAGGCACGAGCTGGCCGCCTCCTAGGCGCAACTGTAGCTCACGTCAGCTTGACTGTGCAACACGAGATCATAGTTGAGACTGCACCCTGCACTGCGCCGGTCTCCTCGATGGAGCCATTGCTGGCTTCCGCTCCAGCTGAGGCTTTTGCATGCGCTGCCTTTCTGCCGATGAATCGTCGCTTTGGTGCTTTCGGTATAGATTCGGTGTCGGCGTTGATAGTGTCTTCGGTTACTGTAGAGACGTCGGGCCCCAGGTCTGCGATCGCGCGGTCCTCCTCCATGCTGCGCTTCCGACAGTAATTCAGTGGCTGGGCGTTCGATGTCGAAGGGCTGTTTTCCAAGCGCACGTGAGTTGGAACGAAAATGCTTGCCGCGCTTCGGGACGCTCTAGCCTCTAGCCGTGTAGCATGGTGTGGATTGTACAGTCAGCAGACTTAGCAGAGCTTATTATTACTGTACCTGCAGTGGACGAATGCAGGCTGCTGTGCCTGATCCCACCACTGCACCATGAGTTCTGGGCAAGGCAAGGCAAGGCGCGTGGTGATGTTGCACCATGTGCACGCGTGGAGAACTTAGCCTGCCAAGTGGGCAAAGAAGCCGCAAGCGTTGAGTTGAGATGAGATGGCAGAGTGCGCAGACGGTGTTCAGAATTGTGACGAGTGACGACATAAACGCGCCAGCATCGTTTTGCCCCCTGCCGAATGGCTGCCAGCTCTGACTCCGGGCATCATCAATGGCAGCAGGCCGGATAATAAATAATCCTCGTGATGACAGAGTGAAGAGTGTGTGTGCATGGCATGGCATGGCACAAATAGCGGTTCAGCATCGGTTGCGCTATTCTGCGAGTTATCTGCGTATCAACAAGCCGTGCAGAAACGGCCATGGGTGGGGACAAGCCCCTGGACATAGAATCTACCTAGCTTGCTTTTCGCACTCTCCGACGCACTCTGCTGCCACTGCGCTTTGCTTTGCTACTGTCTTTCTCCTCCCCTCCCCTCCCCATCGACAGACCGCAGACCGCCTCTCACCGACGCTCGTTTCCAAAGGACACCACACAAGACAGCAGAGAGCGCGGTGGCAGGTGGCAGGTCCACTCACCACTCACGCCGAGCGCCCCGACACTCCTTCACCACTCCATTTCGACATCGACTCTTCGGCGCACACGCGTGTACACTGCGCCGCCCATTCCAGCATCGCCGCCATCGCCGCACACGCCCACCCCTCGTGCAATCATGGATGGAGACTCTCCTCCACCACGGCACAACCCGCCACACATACGTCTGAATTCAGGCAACCATGACCTGCTGCAGCTGGCATCGAGCGCGAGTCCAGACAGCACAACTCGTCCTGCTTCCACACGCCAGCCTTCGTCGCGATCTCTCACACAGCCCAGTCGCCCTGGCACTGCGCCGTCATTGAGAACCGCTCCCAGCGGCCATTCACTTTACCATTCAGCAGCGCCAGCTGAATCTGCAGAGCTTTTACTACCGCCTCGAAAAGTAAACACAAGACGATTCAGGGACGATGACAGCCCGCTACGCTCACCCATATCTCCGGGAGGCTACAACAGCCGAAGAACATCGTGGTCATCAGAAAGTGCGGGCAGCAGAGACAGCAGATATGCCGGTCCATTTGCCTCGCCATTCGACGATTCCCGCGCTCCTTCAAGAGCCGGCAGCGACGACGCCAATGTCAACACTCAGACTGTCAGCGAAAAGTTTAACATTTTACCTTCGGCAGGGCTCTTGCTATTTCCTGAGGATGTAGAAAAGGACGATTATCTGCACAATCCAGACCCAAATGACCCTCCGGACAAGCTGAGCTGTGCAGATCTGTTCAGCAAAAGAGGTCTCATGAATGTGGGCAGTTTGGCCTTAATCACCCTTGGACTGCTCATTCTCTTCATTGGCTACCCCATATTGTAAGTGCAAATCACTCTCGCCCTAGTCCAGCGACTGATCAATTCTGCAGAACATTCGTGCAAAACAAAATCAACCCTGGTGGAAACTCGTGTTCTTCCGACCCTGACTGTTTATCCGATGATGTCCCTCTTTTGAAAAACCTGCGCACTGGTCTCATCGACCCCGACACTCCTTCCAATGCCATGACCAGAACTGGAGATAACGGCAAGAAGCAGCAGTTGGTCTTCAGCGACGAGTTCAATGAAGCCGGACGCACATTTTACGATGGCGATGATCCTTATTTCCAGGCAATGGACTACTGGTATGGTGTCACGATGGATCTCGAATGGTATGATCCAGATGCTGCATCAACGGGCAATGGAACATTGAACCTCAAATTTGATGCGTTCAAGAATCACGACTTGAACTATCGCTCTGGTATGGTCCAGTCGTGGAACAAGCTTTGTTTCAAGGGTGGCTATATCGAAGCCTCGATTTCTCTCCCCGGACGTGGAGACACAGTTGGCTTTTGGCCAGGGTTCTGGACCATGGGTAACCTTGGCAGACCGGGCTACGCCGCAACGACTGATGGAATGTGGCCGTACAGTTACGACCATGTCTGCGACGTAGGAATAACGCCCAACCAATCCGATCCAAGCGGAATCAACTGGCTCCCTGGTATGCGTCTGCCCGCTTGCACATGTTCTGGCGAAGACCATCCTTCTCCAGGAAAGAGCAGGAGCGCACCAGAAATTGATGCTATTGAAGCGTCAGTCGAGTTCCTAGCGCCAGGCGCTGGCATTGGTGCTGCATCGCAGTCATTTCAGGTCGCTCCTTTCGATGTGTGGTATCAACCACAAGCCGACTGGATGGAGATCTACGATCACCGAATCACCGAAGCAAATTCATACCAGGGTGGTCCGTATCAACAAGCCATTTCTGGCCTGTCGGCATTGAACAATGACTGGTATGATGGAAAGGCATACCAGATCTACGCGTTTGAGTACGAGCCGGGTGCGAATGGGTACATCACCTGGTACGTGGGTGACAATCCAACCTGGAAGATCTTTGGAAAGTCGGTCGGCCCCAATGGCAACGTCGGTCAGAGAATCATTCCAGAAGAGCCGATGACGATCATTGCAAATTTCGGTATGAGTAATGGCTTCTCTGCCATCAACTTGACTGGTATAATGCCTCTGCTTCCGGCGACGATGCGGATTGACTACATCCGCATCTACCAGCAAGATGGAGACGAGATGACATGTGATCCGGAAGGATATCCGACCACAAACTACATCGCATCGCATCCGGAGCCTTATGCCAACATCAACATCACGCACTGGTAAGTGATAAAGAAGTGGTATTGAAGAGTGCCGCTAGCTAACACAACAACTTTCAGGGAGCAAGCGGACTACACATTCCCACAAAACTCGTTCATGCACGGCTGCAAGGCTGAGAACTTCCACGACAAGAAGAAAAGATCAGCCCCTCAATCTGCAAAGTTGAAGCGGCAAAGATGAGTTGCTATTCATGACCTTGAAGCTTAAGCAGGGAACGACCACCAGACGTGCCCACTCACGCGAACATGGCTTGAAGATGGTGATGACGAAAAGAATTTGTATTGCATTGCGTTGCATTTTTTGAGCGACACTTACGGCTGGAGCTGCGCTTGCAGCTCGCCGAGTACCTAGACGAACGACCTGGAGCTCTGTGACATGCTCGTCACCAGAAAGGAGACAACAGAACGCGGTTCAGAAACACCTGTCCAGACAAATAATTCCGGATAATTATCCTACCTCAACAACGCACCACATGTCAGCAAGGCTGCTGTACATTTCGACGCCGAGCACGCACCGGCACCCCCTCGATTGTAGATACCATCATCATCGCACACACGACTTTTGAATTTTAAACTATCACTTGCATCGCATATGCACCTGGAGCTCGGCGCTTGGATATGATCACTCGGGGCATGGGAGTCTTTCGGAACCCAACATTTTTTGAGATGATAAAGCATTTTGTTACAGCGTGATTCATGGTACTTCGAAAGGCAGAGAGGAAACATTCTCGCCTGACCTGGATAATTTTTAAATCGACGAAAGAAAGAACGCAAGAAAGGCTGGTCTCGTTTGCATGCATATATATACTTTAGAGCTGCGATGTGTCTGTTTTTTTGTTCCCGCTACGACGGGATCTGTGAAGGAGAGATTAACAAGGCCAGGTACTGTAGGGAAAAGTTGGAAGCAACACGCGAGGAAGACTGGATGCATGAGTGCGCGGCGGCCGGACAGTTTTATAGAGATGTAGGGCGGCGGAATTGAAATCGAAAGAAGTGCTCTTATATAACTTGCCCGGTTTTACCTTTTAATTTTCCTGCGGTAATAGAATTTTAATCCGGCGTTTCTACCTCTACCCATCTACTAACTTCCCGAATTAGATTAGGATGAAACTCCCGACCCTATAATTCTCGAGGTTAGATCGCAAAGACGGCTATAATAGCGTAGAGGGAAGGGACTTGTAGCGTATTTAAAGTTGCTATCCTAACAAAAGAGCATGTGACAGCAAGCTCGCTTGCTTGCTTTGCTTTCCAGCCAGGCACCACGATTGTCAACATCTACGTCATAATCCCTCGCTTCTACCATTATTCAATAAACTTGGCTGCGATTGCCATTAACTCTTCACACAAAACACCTTCTTCTTCCTTCAATCCAATCCACACCAACCCCCACCACCAAAGTTCCAAACCACCACCTACCTCCCAACCTCCAAAAAACAAAATGCCCCTCGTAGTCCCCGGCCTGCAATCCAAAGACGGAGCAGGAGACAAAACTTCAGAATGGATGTCGAAACTCGCGGGCAAGAAAATCGGGGAGAGTCATAATGAAACTGTAAGATTTCCCTTCCCCCTCCCAGCCTACGAGTAACGAGTAACGTTTTTGATGGAGACTTTTGCGAAAACGGATCTTCCGAAACAACATCGTGTGGTTAAGGAAGGGGATATGATGACTATGGATCATGAGCCTGAGAGGTGAGTGGATATGAAATGGAAGGGAGGAGGGAGGAAGGGGTGGGTGCTGATGTTTTGGATAGATTGAATATTCATACTTCTGAGGATGGGACTGTGAGGAAAGTTACTCATGGTTGAGTAAAACGGGGAGGGGAAAGAGAGATGATGGGCTGGGGGTATGAGATATGAGATTCGGGACACTGAGGTCTGATGTAAGTGACCCAAGACAGTCAATTTGTTGCCCACTGCAGTGATGATATAAATTATGCTGCTGCGGTTTCATTAACACCCTGGCCTCCCTCAATCGCAGCCTTCTTCGCCTTCCTCGCAATCCTCCTCGCCATGACACCCTCATCATGCTGCATCTTCTCATGCTCATACTTCATCGTGACACGCTTGGTGAACTCTTTAGTCAAAGCCTTCTTGACATGTTCCAAAACCCTGCCTTGTTCCTTTTCCGTCAAAATGACATCTGGAGCTCCCATGCGTTTGAGTTCCAGCTTCAACGATTGAATAGCTTGGCTGTTTCTCTCGTGGGTGCGCTTCCACGCTCTGTCGTATTTTTCGTCTCTGATCTTTGCCTTGATGGTGTTAATGTTTGCTTCCACATCTTCATCGCGATGTGTCTTAGTGTTGAGCTCGTCGTCGGCATCGGTTGGTGAGTTCGCTTCTTCGTGATTGGTGAACACGGAAGCCAACCATCTCTCCAGCGACTGGCGCTGAGCTCGTGCTGCTTTCATGTCTGAGGCTTGCAAACTTATGACTTCCTTGATTTGTCGTTGCAATTCATCATACTCCTCCAGGTTCAGAAGGTTGATCAGACGTCGTCTTTGAATATCTTCAATCATTTCGAGAAGTCTCCCAAGCTCTCCGCCCTCGAGACGAAACCGTTCCAAATGTTGTAAGCGGCTGATTTTTCTGGTGAGCTTATCATATCGTGGCTTGTTCGCCCGCTCTTGCTCCTTCTCAAGCTTGTCCTTGACTTTCTGAACCCGGTCCGATTTCCAAGTCGCGAACATATGGGAGTTTGCAATTCGGTCTTTGGCCATGTTGACCCAGCGCTCCTTGGACGGTCTGGTTCGCACCCAACCTTTGTCTGTCAACATAACATGCTTCCTCGGTTCCACTCTGAACTTCAAAGGTGGCAAGTCAGGGTTGTGCTCAATCTTGAATGTATCGTCAAGCACCACAGGCTCAGTCTCAATCTCTTCCGCATCCTCTTCTGCCGAGGAAACCTCGACGCCTTCTTCCACAGCTTCGGTCATTTCAGGATCTTCAGGCAACCCCAGAGCTGCTCTTTCGTCTCTGAATCTTTTCTTGATAGCTGGAGTCTGCATAATCGCCCACCGCAGCCACCACCCCGATTCTCCCAGCTCTCTTATGCGCATCTCCTTTTCGCCCAGTAGATACTCGTCAAGACCTCCGAGCTTGTCGATCGTCCTCAGCACCCTAGTAGTGACGCGGATCTGGACATGGCGGTTCAGAGCGCTGCTCCACAGTCGCTTCGTGACAATGTTCGGGTTCCATCTTCGACGGGTCTTGGTCTTGAATTTTTCGCTGACATTATTTCCGAACTGAACTCTTTGGCCGCCATACAGCCCTTTCGCAGACTGCTTGTACCATCGCGTGGGACCGTAGGGATATTCTGGTAGAGCATCTTTCAATGCTTCAGGATGGTTCTTGTCCCATTGCAAAGAAACGGCACGCGGAGCTGACGTCGAAAAGGCTCGCTGGCATTGACACAGCGCCTGCGATGTTGTCTGACGGCGCAGCAGCGCGGCCATGGTCAGTAGTGGATGGAGATGGTTGGTGGTAATGCACAGCATCTCCCAAAGTTGTGTTTCGGGAGAGCTGCTTTCTCCGCCGGCTGAGCACTGAGACAAGCCATACATCGATCTGGTCCTCCCACTCCCTATTGACATTGATCGATCAATTCTCCATTTATTCCCTCACAAACCGCAAACATGGTCTCGTTATCGCAGCGAATGCGCAAACTGCAGACGCGCCTGCTGGAAATACGCATAGGCTCCGGCGCCCTCATATTACCGAAAGAAGTGAAACGAATAAATATGCGATTTGCGCCGCGGATGAACCAAGGCCATATGGGACCAAAGTATGTGTAACGAAACATGAATTTTACTCCAAAGATCACATTCTGATCAGTTATAGAAAATTCTGGCGCCACGAACTCGTCCGTCTAAAATACCACAATCCATCCGTATCCATGACAGTAGACCGAACAGCCCTCCAAGAGGATCCAGCCGTAATGTCAATACACTTCTCAAATTCGTCACCCTCCTCCTCAGAACCTCCTGAAGAAAGGATAGAAACTATCGACATGAAAAACTACACATCCTCGGAAATCCTCGATGCCGTGGTACGACTGACAAAAGCTTATCCTGTGGAACCTACGCCCAAGGATTTGGAAGAGATGCGGAAATTGGAGGAACAGAGGGCGAGGAGTGAAAAGGATAGTAAATTGAGTCAGGAGGTTCGGGCTAGGGCCAAGAGGGAAAAGCAGTTGCTTGGGCAGGCTAGGGGTGAAGTTGCTTCCCAGGAGGTATGAGAAGGGACTTTGTGAAAGGAATTAGGACTGGAAGACGACGCTACAGCTGCTACGTTGTGCGGGAATGGATGGCATGGAAACGAGGTGCACGAAACGCAGGGTTGGTCAGGCTCATGAGATGATTCGCTCTGCAGCGCAGCGAGGAATGGGAGAGGAATGATAACTGAGCATGGCGAGAAGGAAAGGTGTATCATGCTGTACAGTATTCGCATCGCTCAGAGGCTCACGGCCATGCTACGCCTCAATGGCCATACCCTGCCACCAGGCCATGCAACCCAGCACGAAGACGATCACCATCACATCAACAAAGATGGTCCTCGCAATCGTCAAATACCTTCCCAAAACGCGAATGTAATTCGCATAAGGCTCCGGAATAAAGCCGCTATTCGCAACAGTCGCAAGCATCCCTCCACCTTGCAACTGTCCCTTCTCCACAAAATACCGCGTCGACTGCAACACCAGTTCCGCAGACGTAAAGATAATGAAAAGTCTCGGTCCAAGTCCATACCCAGTTTCTTCCGTATACACATTCTGAGACCTCGCGAGTTTCGTACCGTTGAAGGTCGAAGATAGACAGATATATATAGCCAATCCGAAAGCGAAAATCGCATGTACGATTCTCCAGATGTAGGCGGAAGATGTCGCTGGTTCGGTAGGTTCTTGCTTGGCTCCGGCTCCTGCTGCGCCCATCATGGCTTTGAGCATAGGTGGGAGATCCTGAGGATCATTTGGGTCTCCTCCCATACCTCCCATCATTTGTTGCATCATTTTCATCAAAGGGTCATCATTCGCTCCTCCTCCTTGTGCTTGACGTTCTTGCTCCATTTGGAGCATAGCAGCGGCTAATGGATTTTCTTGAGGATTTGGAGGTCGGCCTGTGGTGGGCGTGGCTGCGAAACTGTTGTCTCGACTGATGTCGACTTCTTCTGGATCGTCGGCCATGCTGGCAGGCTTGGGTGCATTGGTTGCTATATAACGAATGTGTCAGTCGGTGACACTGCGGTTGCGCGACAGTCCTTCTTACGTCCTCCGAGCACTTCATCGGGCGGTGCGACACCTCCATTCAGTGCCTTTATCTTTGCCAGTCTGTCTTCGCCTTGCTCTGCCATCTTTTTCTGTCGCTTTTCGCGGCGCAAACGCGCCTGACGCTGATTTGACGTCTCGCCTTCGGGACCATCACTGCTGGTGGTAGCCGCAGTGTCCGCCATGACTTGCTGCGGGACTTTCGAGGTCTGTGGAAGAAGTGGTGCAGGTGTGGTGGAAACTTGGACCGGGATCTGCTTAGTCTCAGGTGCACAGACCGCCTTGGCACGCTATTCCCCTTCGGGGGCGATGCCGTAGGCAGTCTGAGGAAGCATCTGGGGGTTCTGGTAGATAGATCTTAGCTATATAATGAACATTATTAAAACAGCTGAAAATAGGTGTTTCTAAGAAGTCTGACGTTATCTAATAGAGTGTCTAGTAAGTAGAATAGCGGAAAAGTGCCTCTCTATAGTAGAAATTAATACTAAAGGCATAAGGGGGTACTAGGGCATCTAGTAATTAAATTTGAGTAGAGAGTAGTATATTTCTAAGAAAACAACGCTTTTTAGAAGCCTAGAGGGCTCTTAGATAGATTAGAAGTATATAGTCTAAGCTAGAAAGTTAAGAAATTAAACACTAGAAGCACGCACTCTAAGCTAGAAAACTAAGAAATCAAACATTATAAACTCTAGAACAGTAAACCTAGAAGCCCTAGATGCATACAGAAACCCCTAACCTTACTAGACGCTAATTAGTCGCTCTTAGTACTACCGCATATCGCTATTATATCGCTAGAACTATTACGCTAATAGTCTAGCTTATTAGTATCTTCTCTAGACTGATCTAGCTTACACTGCTTAATAAGGGCTAAGCAGTCCTAAGAAGCTTTATTAAAAGTATACTTAAGGCGTCTAAGGACTCTAGGGCTACTATCGTCTAAATTAATAGCTATAGGAACTATTATTATTAAAGTGCGCTCCTTCTAGTAGTTAACTAAGGAGTCTAGTAGGTTAATAAAACCTATCTCCCTCGGATAGAGAGTAGGTACTAGATCTACTAGGCTCGCTAGACGCGGTAGATCGCGTACGCGATTAAGGTTAGTAGAGGAGATAGTATCTAATATACTAGACATATTAAAGGGCGCGACTAGCGCCCTTATAAACCTCCCCTCCTACTTAGTCTTAGAGTTATGCTTGCGGCTACTTAGAGCCGTATATTTAACCTTCGGGACGCCGAAGACGGTAGAATTAGAGTATCTAGTAATGCTACCTAGGTTTACGCAGTTTAGACAGCCGCGCTTCTAAATAAAGTCTATCTCCTCCTTATCGTCGCTAGGCTCCTTAGCTATCCGGATATAAGGGCACTCGATAAAGAGATTGTTCTTCGGCTCTATCTTAGTGCTATAGGCTATATAGCGGGCTTTAGGCGTTATCTAGTCTTATAAGTAGAGATCGCCCGTAGGATCTGCCGTAGGCATATAGCAGCCCTAGTAGTAGTATATTACTAGACAAGCTAGACGGTAGACTAAGGTATAGGTCTTAAAGGTAGTACCCTACTTAGAGACGAAGATTCTAGTATATATAGTAGAGCGAGGCTTAATCTTGTAGTTTTTATCTAATATCTAATAGACGTTAGCGATCGTTAGATTTAGCTTTAGGCCGTTCGGACCATTCTTCGGAAGTATAGCATTTAGCGCCTTAATAGCCTAAATGCTAACCTAGCGGGTTCGACAGCCCTACTAGGCTCTAATCTAGCGCTTATAGAACTCGTAGTACTCGTCCTTGTCGTTAAAGCTGACGGTCGCCTTACTAAACTAGTCGTCCTAGATAGTATCGAAGAGCCGCCGCTAGTTCTTATCTTTTATCCTACCGCTATAGTCTAGATTAGGTAGACAGGCTAGCTTAACTAGAGGGACGTATAGGGTAGCTAGAGTAGCTAAAGAAGAGGAAGCCTTCGGAGGTATAGTAACAACTTGCTAGTAATAGATTAGCTTATCTCTAAAAAAGTTAAGGTAGACTAAGCCGTTAGATAGCCCTTTAGGTAGCTTAAACTTACGAATAGAAGTAGAGATACTTTAAAAACTCAAAGTCTTAAAGAAGTGTTAGGTACTAGCGCGACTAGAGCGCTACTAAAGCTTCTAAAGTAGCTATAATAGTATAGAGGCTAGAGGGACAGTCTAAAAAGGTATCTAAGAAGGCTAATAATAACTAACTATACTAAAGGTTAGTTAGTAGTAGTAGAAAGAAGAGAGGGTTAATAATCGAATTTAAGGTTCCTTAAGAATACTAGAAGTGTACCTAACCGCCTAACCGGTAAGGGCAGCTACTAGGTAGCGGCGGCGGCGTAAAGGGGTAGTATAACGTATCTAGGTAAGCTTCGCGCTATTAGATAGGTTAGGCGGCGGTGTACGTGCGCGCCTAATTAAAACTAGTAAGGGGATAAGTAAAGGAGCTAGCGGAAGGCGCTAGTAACGATCTAAAGGCAATCTAAGCTTGCGGAGAGCGCTAGCGGCGATAAGATAATATCTAGATTTGCTAGATAATAGCAGGGTATTCGCCCCGAGAGGAGCAGGTTATTAGGGAATGATTATTAAAAGTCTAGAGCTTTAGATAAATAACTGAAAGCTCCCCGTTAAACCCGGTTCTTCTAAGGACTCTCCTTCTAGTTTACGTAGTTCTAGCTCTTTATCTCGATCGAGATCGCTTCTATCGTTTGCTAGGCCTATTAGACCGGGCATAAGATTAGTCTCTGCAAAGCGCTCTAGACTAGGGTTATCTAGAGGATCTAGGAGGGCACCTTCGATATTATAAAGTGCCTAATCGGGTCTAACAAGTCTTTCCCGCTGCTAGACGACGTTCTCGTTGAATCTGTCTAATCTAGATACGCTATTAACCTCCTTTATAAGATTCGTAACGCTAGTTATAATCAAATCCATAGCGTAGAAAGGAAATTCCTAATATTCTAGAACCTGGAGCCTAGTCTAGAGCGTCTCCTAATGCAGGATATTTACTAGATCGTAGATTTCTTCTATCGCCTTTCGTAAGGCGTGTTTCGTATCCGTTCTCTTACTAAACCTAGCCTCTATCTAGTTACGTAGATAGCTAGTAAAATTGGCTAGAAGGGCATATTCTTCTAGATTCTGCTCGATACTAAATACTCTATTTCGCCTAGAATTTAGCAGATTCTTTAGAAACAAGTTCAGCTATTCGTTAGCTCGATTAATCTTAAACTAGCTGTCTTCTCTCCCTATAAAATTAACTAACCTATTAGCTAGGATTGCCCTCTAAAGCTACTAATCCGCTGCTAGACCGTCTAATAACTACTTTATCTATAGTATAATAAAAGCGTAGTTTTTGTATAATCTAGCGTAGAAGATAAGGATATAGCGGTCGATAACCCGCCTAAGAAGGCTAATATTAGCGTGCTTAATAGCATAGTATAGCAGTTAATATATCTTAGCAACCTAGATGAACCTAATATTCGTCTAGCGCTCCTCGTTACCTCGCAAATCCGGGCGCTATATAGGCTTCCTCTTCTTCTTCTTCTCTAGCTTATCGGACGTATATCTAATAGGCTGCTAGCAGTACTTCGCTTTAGCTAGGTCTTCTACGGGATCGGTCGTCTAGGAGGTCTAGGCGGCCTTAGAAAACGCTAGTTTATATATCTTATCGACTAGGCGAAGGAAGGATTCTACGTTATATTAGCCTAGAAGCTTACTAACTTCCTCTCTAGAGGCATTCTAGATACCTAGGATCTTATACAGGAATGCTAGTATTCGAGCCGTAAAGCTGTCTATTGCTAGACGCTCTAGATAGCTATATAGTAGCTAAAAGGAAGGGCAGATCTTCCTTTCTATTAATTTGCGGTATATAGAAAGTGTAGACTTGCTCTCCGTACTATCTAGTCTATCAAAGTTATTGCAGATAGCCTATATTAGACACATTTTTAGATAGAATAGTCCTAGTATTAGTAGCAGCTATATTAACTTATCGAATTCGTCGTCGTTCTATATAGCGTCTTTCCGGAAAACTCGTACGTTCTAAACAGATTTCTAATCGCTATAAACTAATCTAACGTATCTAGATTAGTTGTATAGTAGAATATTATATCCTTTATTAAGCGAGCGGTAGTAAAGAATTTTAGCACTCTTAGCCGCTTTAGTCTACCTAGTACGTATGTCTATAGCTCCTCTACTATTCCCGGCTAGAATTTCTATATAGCCTCCGGCTTCCTTAGCTTCTCTAGCTTGCCTAGCCTACCTTTCCTTTAGTGCTCTACTATACCTAGCCTTCGAAGCTTTAGATCCTCTAGCCTACCTAGCCTTAGGTCTCTAAGCTCCTCCCTCCCTAATAGCTTAACTTTCGGCTACTCGGCTACTCCTAGCTTTAGGCGGTATAGATACTTTAGCTACTATAGCTCTTACTCGCTCTTTTTTTTCAACTTGCTTAGTTATGCTCTTTAGATGTAGCTAGCTTTCTAGAATATACTCTAGAACCCTATGTGTTCCGTTATACGATCCCTCGTTTTTAAATATTAGCTATAAAGACGTATAAATAGACTTCTAGGGCTTTAGTCGATCGATAGCGGGCATCTAGGGGAATTCCGGCACTTTAGACTAATCTAGATCCTCGTTATAGAGCTTATATATCCTCGCAACCGCTTCCTAGTAGACTCTAGCAATGCTAGAGGCAATAAAGTGCCTCGAGATCTTTATAGCAGTGTCGTCGTATTTGTTTCTATCTACACTAAGAATATAGTATAGCTAGAGCTTCTAGTCCTCGTATAGTATATCTATAGATAAGCTAGATCGCGGCATTTTAATAGATTTGAATAGTTTTCTAGTCGTAAAGTGCATTAGATTGTCTTTCTAACTGTATCTATGCTCTCTAGATCGCATATAAGCGTCGCAGTTGTTAAATACGATATAACAGCTCGGGTCCTAGCTAAACTAGGTAATCTAGCGCTTTGCGAGATTATACAGCTTCTTATTTATAGTGTAAATCGTCTATAGAAGTGCGCAGATCCCTAGACCTGCTAGTATGCTTAAGATACGACGTTTCGTACCCTGCGACTAGAGATATATACTAATCTAGTACGGTATTGCATTCGCAGATCGCGTACTAACGTGTCTAGCGAGCGCAGACGTAAGTATAACTATCTTCCTATTAATTATCCGCGCCGATGCTATCTAACGTACCTAGAGGATTCTACGGAAGAATCTGTTTATCTAGGGCGTATAGCACTCTATAGCCTTCTATATATACCGATAGTTTAGATCTTTAGATAGCGTATCGCAGTTCTAGTAGCCAAATTCCTACTAGTAGTGTTAAACGGCGTCTATAATCGTCTAAGTAGGTACTAGCTCGCCTACCTTCGTTTAGTTGCTTAGTAACCGCATTTCTTTCCTTAGAGTACTCTAATAGAGCTAGGTTCTATCTAAAATCTACGCCGCTACTCGTTTTGCTACTTCTAGGTCCTATAGAACATTCGCTAACTTCCTCGCTCTTATAGACGCTATCTCCGCTTACTAGGAGAGATCCGGGGTCTTTTCTATATAGACATACTATTTAATAAAGTCTAACATTAATAGATTTATCCGAGAAGCCTGCCTAACGACCTCGTCTACCTTCTAGCGAAGCGATCGACTAACGATCTCTTTATTTTTCCTAGTTTTACTAGCATGTCGATAGACCTATATCTAGCCTAATCTAGCGGCGTTTACGGTCGATTCGATAAACTTCGCGATATAGAGAGTAGGCGGCCGTATCTTTATACTCTAGCGGCGTCTAGATTGCTCTAGAACCGGCGTCTAGGACATGTTTACTAGTATATAGCATATCGCGATATTATTAGGGGGCGCGTCTAATATTGCTAGGTTACTAAGACGCTAGTCTTAGCAAACAACAACATTACTAGACAACTTAAACTATTAAAACAAACAACATTATTATTAGCAAAGCGCTTAGACTACGTAGATAGTATTAGGAAAGTATTCTACGCGTAGGAAGCAAGGAAAATACGTCTACTAAGCTATCCGGTACGTTAGAAAACACGCTAGTAAGCGACGCGACTCTAGACGATCTACGAATATGCCTAGACTACTTATCTACTACTAGATCCGATCTAATATCGAAGAGACGCCTAATTTCCCTTTCTCCTCCTTCCGCTTAGACTTACTGTCTATATAGCTTCTTCTAGCTCGACTAGCGGGTTTCTAGGCGACTTTTAAGCTGCTAGAGATAATGCTTTCCGCTTCCTTCCTTTTTAAGCATTTAGCGCTATATCTGCAAGTGCTAGCCGCGGTACTAGTAGTCTAACTTTGTACTAAGACTTCGGAGATCTAGCTAGCGATTAAACTAGTATTAACAAAGGCGTAGTTAGGTCTAAATAGAATAATAGCTCGCTTCCTCGCAATTAGGGGCTTTATTTAGATACTACCTAGCGCGATATAGACATTCTAGCTGCGGCTAGCAACTTATCTGCCTTATCTCTCTCCGCCCGCTTTATAGCTCGCTCTGCCTCTCTCTTAGCTTCTCTAGCGGCTCTAATTCTTTTAGCTTCTTCTTCCTACTACCTTCGAAAGCTAATTATAAGGCGTCTAGCAATCCCTAGGCTCTATAGCAGCTTACGTAATGTTGCCTAAGTGGTCTAGAACTGTCGCCTCTATAATAGCTTTCTTAACTACTCTATCGAACCTAGAATAGCTAGGGAAGAATCTGTACTATACTCTTATATAAGCCAACCTAGGATTCTATATAGAACGACCGAGCCTAGAATAGCTAGGAAGACTAAATCCTTCTAGACGGTTCTAGCCCATTTAGACTCCTAGCTAATTAGCTTAGTTTTAATATCCTTCTTTAACGGCGTAAAATCGGGATAAATACCTAGTACGCTAGCCTACTACTAGATATAGAGCCCTGCTAGTATTCGATCTAGGGAGTAGATATTACAGTATGCTTAGACTAACTAATCTAGCTCCTAGTTAAATATCTAAAGGGCAATCTTACGCCGGCAGTCCCTAGGCCTAGCATTAATAAAGCGTCGAAGAGTACGCTCTAGCGTAGCTCGCTTGTCTAACCGTAACTTCGGGCGCTTGTTAGCTGTTTTAGACAGCTTAGCTTACGTCGAGGGCTTATCCTGCGAGATCTCCTATATACGTACTAGGCTAGGTCGATTAGATAGCCTCGCCTAGGTTTTAGACTCGCTCTAGCCTAAAGTCTAATCTTCGATTAGTAGAGTAAACACTCCTTTACTATAACGGTTAGATGCTCTAACTGTACGCCTAGCTCGCTAGAATATCGTTCTTATACTACTATTCCGAGGCAATCGATACTACACAATTCGCTTAATATCTAGAATGTCTACCCTAAGCCCTAGAGCTTTAGTAGCGAATAGAATGCGAATCTAGGAGTCTAGCTACTAGAATTCCTATATAATATTCGCCTAAGTTCGCCTAGCTGTTCTACTATAGTAGATACGACAAATCTAATAGAGCTATCGAGTACTAAACTTGCCTAGCTATCTATGTTAGATAAACTAGCGCATCTGATCGGCAGTAGCGCCTAGACTAGGCCGGCTATTAATAAAAACGACGGTCTTCTGTAACTGCTAGGGCACTGCTAGACTATCCTAAGATACAATTCCCTTAGTTAACTAATTTAGTGCACTGTAATTTGCTAGACTGCTATTAGGGATTATACAGACTCTTATTAGAATCTCCGGACGATCAATCGAATGCTATAGTATATAGGTCCCTTTAGTAACTCGAAATCTAGCTCCCTCTCTAGCGTATCTAAGCGTTATCGGGTCTAGTGTCGCTAAGTAGCTAAATATCTTTACTAAGCTTCCTACTAGACTCCTTAGCTGCTTTAATTAAGTATATTCCTTCCGAAATATACTACCCTCTACGCCCTATTACTATATAAGATAAAATTCATCTATAGCTATTAGACCTAGCGTCTAGCGAAATCTAGCCTTACTCTAAAGCTTCCTAAACTAGTTCTAGAGCGCCATTTCCGGACTAAGCATAATATAAGTGAATTTCCCTATATAGAGGTCCTCCTAGTCTCGTCTAGAGAGCGTAGCTTTAGTATCTAATATAAATAAGAGTAGATTTCTACTAAGTCGCTAGATGCGTTTAGATTGCTCTAGACTAATCTAGTTTAATAGCAAAATAATAATTACTGTCCTCTGCATTATTAACGGCTACGCCTAGAACGCTAGACTCTTTCTAGCTAAGGTCTTCGCAATCTAGACGGTATTAGTAACCTTGTAGACAAGCTAATATAGCGCCTCTACCTGCTCTACTCTTAGTGCGAATAGATATATCTAGCGACATACTAGCCTAATTAGACGCTCTTTACTCGATCCTGCTATTAGTTTCTGCGCGACACCTTCGACTCTCTTTAACTAGATATACTCCTAGAGCTCCTTCCGGGCCTTTAGAAAGGTCTAGCCTTTAGCTAGACGGAACAGCTAGTCTTATATGTTAGCTAAGAACATTTCGATTCTAGTACTCTCTGCTAAGGCCTAGTCGATCTAGTTATCGCTAATACTAAGGGCGGATCGAACCTTACGATAACAAACCTCCTTCTAAAAGATCTAATATACTAACTAATGCCTCTTAACCTCCGCTATATTGTTATCTATACGCGCTAAAGCGTCGCGTATTTAATCGCATAGGCGTCGTCTACATTCCTAGTCTTCTATAGTATCTAGTCTACTAAAAAGTATCTATAGCTCTATCTAGTTGCTCTACTTATTGCCGTCGTCGAGAGACCGTGCTAGCGTAGCTAGATCGCTATCTAATATATCGCTTAGTAGGTCCTCGTCGCTAGAATCGATTAAAATAGGACCTAATACCTCTCTTTCTAGGTAGTGTTTGTCTAGCGGCTCTAACCCTTTTCCCTTGCTCTTCTAACATCCTATATCGTTCTTTAGCGTTACTAGATAAGCCTAATCGATCTGCGCTAACTCTAGTATATATACTAACGTTACCGACTTATCTCGAAATAACGACTAACGCGTAATACTAGCGCGTACCCTCCGCTTCTAAAACGGCATCTAAAAAAACGGAAAATATTAGTTTGTAGGCAATCTTAGTAGCTTTCGAATGCATCTAGTAGCGTCTAGATTAGTTTAGGTAGGTAGGCTGCTTATAGTCTAGAAGATTTATATATAAATCGACGCGTCGCGACTAGACGGCTTTTAGGTCTTCTAGACAACGCGCATTCGCGAAATTTATTAATATTTTATTAGGAGCTTGTAGTAGACATTAAATAGAACAGATTGTATAAGATAATTTCTTTAGATAGTATGTCGTCGTCGTCTAGCAGCTATCTAGCCGTTCCTAAAGCTAGATTATATAATAGTATAAAACGCGCCTAAAGCTAAGATATATCCACCAGAACCCTTAGATGCTTCCTTAGACCTCCTCCAGTAGGAGAGCCCGCGGAGCGCTTGATTAGCTCCCTACGCGAGGTGGTCTAAGCGTCCCCTAAGACTAGGATCTGCTGCCCGCATGTGAAACTTGTGACGTGTGAGCTTCCTTCCCACCTTTCCTACACATCTGGACACCGACGACATCCAAGATCTTTCCTTCACTGTGACTCAGGAATTTTGCTCGATCGTGCTCAATACATGTTAGCAGCCGCGACTCGAGTATGGATCGGTGTCTCCTGCCATAGCCGTGTCCGTATTCATACCAGCCGCGCAGCCATGGGCAGGTTCAAAGGAAACAAGAAAGCGGCAGGTCCGAAGAAAGCTCCACTAACACACTTTCTTTGCCTTCCTCTTATCACTTCCTCCTCGCGACCGGAGATTGAGGCATCGCTGAATGCATTCAAGGACAGTGTGACTTCTTCTCCACCAAGTCGATCAGATACTTCCCAAGCAGATGGCGCAGAAGAAGACAAGATCACCACCAGCATTCATCCAAAGGCAATTCGCCCCGTTGGCACTCTACACTTAACTCTAGGAGTAATGAGTCTCGATCCCACGAAGCTTGCAGCAGCTGTGAATTTCCTCAAGGAGCTCGATCTTAAATCAATGCTGGACGGAGCTTCTCCAGGAAGCGTCAACGGCTCCCAAACAGAATCCAAGGTCTCAAACGAGGACTCTGTTGGAGATTCTTCGTCTGCCATTAGAGATGGAGATGGCCCTCTGAAGCTTGACTTGAAAGGTCTGGAATCCATGCACCCACCTCAGAAGACCTCGATATTGTATGCGGCTCCGACCGATCGTACCGGGAGACTCTACCCATTCTGTCTTGCATTACAGGAAGCTTTCAATGAGAAGGAGTTTCTCGTCAGTGATGACAGGAAACTCAAGCTCCATGCCACACTCGTCAACACCATCTATGCCAAAGACAGGGGGAAACCTACAAAGCCCCAGATCAATGCCCAGGTTTCGAACATCCCAATACGGACACAGAATAATGCAGACGCAGTCAAAGGACATGGACCAGATGCCAACGCGCACCTCAAATTGGATGCCAGAAGCCTGATTGACAAGTATAAAGATTATGTTTGGGCAGAACAAATCACTCTTGATAGAGTTGCGATTTGTGAGATGGGAGCGAAGAAGATTCTCGACGGAGATGGAAATGTCATTGACGAGAGATACACTGAAGTGGCTTCAGTACCGCTGCCCACATAAGCCCTCTCTTCAATTGCCTTCTTGAAGCCGAATTGAACTACGCTATGTAACAACATATTGCAGCGTTCAGCGATGGGAGTCCGGATAATGCGCAAGGCCAAGAAGCTTTCCGAACAGGTGAAGAACGACTTGATAATAAGACCAACGACAGCCAAAATGCAAAGTCAGCTGGCGAGTCAGGGAAACACACTCTCGGAGAGTAATACGCAATACTGAGTCTGCTACTGCGACGTCCTGGCCGCGCATACTACTCTCAACCGCTGCTACTTCACGCCTCTTGCATACCGAGCTTTCTGGCCTGCGCCGTGATTAGGTGGGCGTCCTTCACTTGAAATCTTTGCTTATTACACAGCTTGCAGTCGCACAACCAAGAAGATGTAGTTGTGCGGGCAAGCTTAGTTCCAATGGTGGAAGGCGCCATCGACTCGCTTAAGCTGCATTTCATCTTAACAGCTGAAAAGGGTGAAGCTCATTCAAGTCGCGTCGCCAAATTCGATCTGATCGGCAGCTAGTCAGTGGCTTGGCTTTGGAGCTTCTCTCCACGATCAACAACTCTCTACTTTGCATTTTAAAGACAGCCTTATCTTCATCATCCTTCAATGGTCATGCTATGGGAAGCCATCATATTGCTCCTGGTATGGCCTAAGTTATTCCCGTACTTGGCATGAGCCCGCCCGTCTACACTCGTTTTAGACTTAATAACATGGCGTAACCCGAAGGAGGAAACCCAACGTTCAAGCATTTGTGGCGCTTGGTGCTGAAACAAAAGCAGTCGGTCGGCCGCCAGAATCAAAGTCACTTATAGCATATACCTGCATTCTGACTAGTAAGCAGGCAACGCGCGTGGCTACGGCATTCGGGGGTAAGGCAGGATGCTTAGTGCACGGCAACCACAGCCCTGGTGGCGGACTCCGAAAAGGATGTAAGATGAGTTAGGCGACCTGTCAAGTAGGTCTTGCGACTCTTGTCGACTATCCTCTTGAACCTCCTCTGCGGGTGTGTGGTTCTGCTGTCCTTGGTGTTGAGCGCGATCTCTTATTTCTTCTTCGCTCGTTACACTTGTGGCTATTAGCCACGTCCATTCGTTCAAGATGATCGCACCAATTACCACTGTCCTTATTTCACTTCTAGCATTCGCGGCAGCACAAGTAGACACGGATGGCGCGACGGATTCGGCACCTGCTTTCACGTTCGCTCCAGCATCTAGCTCCGACGTCCCAGCATTCGCAGATGATGTTCAAAGAACAATGTCCACACAGACTGAGCTTGACGCGCCGAATACTACAGCTCCTACTGGGACCCCGTCAGTTGATGGCCCACGAGCTAGCCCTTTGGCGCCTGTGACCGCCAGCTCCGAGTCCAACCTCGATATGCCAACTTCTTCACCTACAACGACGCCATCTTCATCACCAGAATTCGCATTCGCACCTACGACAACATCGCCATCATTCGCATTTGCACCAACAACTTCGAGCATGGAGTTCTCCTTTCAGCCGCAGACCCAGTCTTCACAAGCTCCGACCAGCCCGGTCACGACAAAGCCCTCAGAGCCAGAGCAGAACACTGCGATCGTAGAATCCTCGGAAACTCAACTCGAACAACCCACAACCACGCCAGAATTCACCTACTCACCATCCACAACACCATCTTTCACCCCATCTTTCACCTACTCACCATCTTTCACCCCATCTTTCACCTACTCACCATCAACAACCCCATCTTTCACCTACTCACCATCAACAACACCCTCCACAACCCCATCTTTCACCTACAACCCACCACCACCATCATCATCCATCCCCGGAAACCCCGTCGAGCAACACCCCCACCTCGAACAATCCGCCACCTCCCTCATCGCCCCATCCCCCATCCTCGCACCGTCCGTCTCCTCCCTCGAAAAACCTTCCCCCTCCACAATCACCGGCGCCCCAATCTACAAAACTCTCCACGTCAGCCAAGCCTCCAACGGAAATTTCATGTACGGCTCCCACACGCTCTCCCCGGGCGCGGAAATCACGCAAGGCGCGAACCCGAAATTCCCGACGCAGATCATCGACGTGAAATCTTCGGCGGAAGTCCTCATTGAGAATGCCGCCAAGACGACGGAGACGCAGTACTTATCATCTGGGAGACCTTCTGCTACGGTGACGGTGAGGCCGGTTCCGTCTCTCAATGGGGGTTATTATGTACTTTCTGCTGCGCCTCAGGAGTGGGTTACGTTGAATGGGTATACGATGGCGGTTAGTTCGGTTGCGGTGGCGACGGAGAAGGCGATTGCGTTTCAGGGGCATACGGTTTCTATGGGGGGAGTGACGTTGGTTGCTCGTCCTACTGCTGCTGCTGCGGCGAAGAGTTCGCAGGCGGGTGCGGAGAGTTCGAGGGTGCCTGATTCTGGGGTTGGGAGAGTTGGGGCTGCTGGGTCGGTTGTGTGTGTTTTGTCTGGGTTGGTTGTGGGGTTGATGTTGTAGTTTTCTTTGAGCGAGGGAGTGTGTCGTGTTATAATGGAGAATGCTACGTTGGGGCTTTTCTTGGAGATGATGTTTGGTAGTTCGTGTTGAAAGGGTGTGTCTGTGAGATGATGGATGGATTTGTGTTCCGACCTTATCTCATCGCCTGTTCGCTCGCTGATGTTCTTTGACATGTGCTCTACGAAATGTGGCATGCTACGAGCATTGGCCATGATGTTCGCGATGCTCGGTGAATAGGCTGAAACTGGTAAGGGAGGCCGGTAAGGAGTGGAGAGCAACAGCAATGATTTGCTCGCCACATCGTCGCATACTTGAGGAGGCAGAATGGATGCATGGATGAGCTTTCAGACCCGAAAAGGGCGCTCCTGAAAGGATGGAAAGTACGACCGTGGAGAAGTCTTGTCCAAATTTCCATTCGGCGAGGACCGATGGTGTTCTCGGCGTCGGACTGATCTCTGGCCTTCTCATGCTGCAGGATACGCTCGTAAGTCAGCCCGGCGTTCAAGGAAAGTCCCAGCGTCGTCGGTCAAATCTTGCATTGGGATGTTGCAGAAATGCAGGCTTCGGGCCGGTGAAAAGCCGGCAATAGCCGATGCGCAAAGGAAGGGAAGGGAGCATGACGTGCTTCACAGAAAAGCCATGGACTGCAAGGCACGGCGTCAGCCCAGGAAGCCTACTTGATCAGCCATTTCGATTGGAGCTGAACGTAGCGTAAGGTCAACAGAAGCTTTTGGCGGCCCCGGCCTCATGCTTCTGCAGAGCGCAAAAAATCTTCATTTGTCGCGCCAAGCTACACCGACTTTGCCATGCCCCGAGACAATGCGGAAACTTCTCGTGCAAGTGCTGAGAAATCAGGATGTGGGGATGGAGATAGCAGGAGAGGAGGTGACGTGAATGCAGTATGTCAAGCGGAACAAGGGAGGGAGGTGTTACTTGAGAAAAACATTTGGTGGAGCTGCAAAGAGTGGCTCCTGCCGATGGTGAGCCGCGCAGACGGAATGATCAGCATCAGCATGGAGATTATTATTGTGCAGGTGGTGGGTGATGATTGTTGGTCGAAAGTTGAATAGTCCTGAAGTGACAGATGCGAGTTGGTGGTACAACAGCGATGTGGCCGGTTCCTGGAGGAAACGAGGGAAATAAGCCTTGCCTTTGCTGCGCGGACAGAAGTGCTTCTTTTGCTTGTGCCGACGTCATTGAATCCTCAGAACTTTCACCACTCCACCTCCCATTGTTGAGCCATTCCCAAGCAAGCATCTTTGCTCAGAAGGTTGCTTGCACGCCGGGTAGATAAGGTCTGCCCAATGATCGCGGTGCTGTACATGACCACCAGACGGTGATTCGCGTGCCGGAGCCAGTGACACACATAAATGCCTGGTCCTGGTAAGTGGTCCACATTACTCAAAACCCTCTCCGCCGCCCTGCCCTCAAACTCTCGACTCCAGTCTGCTCTTGCGACAGTGAGCTCGCCCAAGCCTCACCGCTGTGCCTGCCATCTGCCCTTGACCCGTCCGTCCCTGCTGCAAGCCAAGCCCGACGAGCATCGACATCCGCTCGACAACCAAGCATGTCCCAAGGCATGACCGACTATGGCCTTGCCCGCGATACTGGCTATGCAGATATCAATGAGAAGGACGACTTGAGCTCGAGCGGCCGATCGAAAGAGAGCCAGCTCAGAAAGGACAAGCACAATGCCATCCTCGACCCAGAGCTGGCTTTGGCCGAGCAGTCGACAATCCACGAAGGCCAGCAGAAATTCAACAAGCTGTCGTGGCAGCGTCTGACAGTCTGCCTGATCGTCGAGGCCATTGCACTGGGTTCGCTCAGTGTGCCGTCTGCCTTCGCCACCCTCGGTATGGTCCCTGGTGTCATTTTGTCCGTAGGCCTTGGCCTGGTGGCTATTTATACTTCATATGTCGTTGGCCAGGTCAAAATGCGCTATCCGCACATCGAGCACTACGCAGATGCAGTCAGGCTGATTTGGGGAAAATTCGGATATGAGCTCACGGGAGCCATGTTCGTCCTGTTTCTGGTTCTGCTGGTCGGTTCTCACGCCTTGACCGGCACCATTGCCTGGATTCGCATCGTCAATGAGCCGGGTATTTGCGCCCTTGTCTGGTCAATTGTCTCGGCCATCATCCTCTTCCTCGTGGCTCTTCCGCCAACTTTCCATGATGTTGCCGTCCTTGGATACATCGACTTCGTCTCAATCATTGCCGCTATCCTCATTACCATTATCGCAACCGGTGTCGAGGCACACCAGGCTCCTGGAGGTCTTGCCGCCGTCGATTGGCAACTCTGGCCAGCCGAGGGCACGACATTCTACGCTGCCTTCTTATCCACCACCAACATCATCTTCGCCTACTCCTTCGCTGTCTGCCAATTCTCCTTCATGTCGGAGATGCACACGCCCAAGGATTATGTCAAGTCCATTTGGGCTCTTGGCTTGATCGAGATTTTCATCTACACCCTGACTGGTGCCTTGGTTTACTCCTTCGTCGGACAGTCAGTCAAGTCCCCAGCTTTGCTGAGTGCCGGCTTCACCGTGTCCCGCGTCGCCTTCGGAGTCGCTCTTCCGGTAATTTTCATCTCGGGAAGCATCAACGGCACAGTCGTAGGACGGTATATCATGGAACGCGTCTTCAAGGACTCCCCGATCAGGTACATCCACAGCAAGAAGGCCTGGATCATCTGGATTGCACTGATCGCCATCATCACCATCATTGGCTGGCTCATCGCAGAGGCCATTCCATTCTTCAACGCCCTCCTCGGTCTGATCTCCGCCCTTTTCATCTCCGGCTTCACCTTCTACTTCCCTGCTCTTTTCTGGTTCCAACTGATTAAAGAGGGCAAGTGGTACGTTGGCTGGAAGAACATTGTTCTCTCCACCATCAACGTCATCGTCTTCTTGATCGGCCTGATTGTTCTCGGCGCTGGAACATATGCGTCCGTGGAGGATATCATACACCAGTATTCCTCCGGCGAAGTGAGAGGCAGCTTTACGTGCTCAAGCGCCGCCTACGCATGATACATAGACGGCATTTTTCGGCGCTTGGATATGCCCCAACTGCAAGCTTTTGTGAAGCCGCTGCACGCTTGGAATGTTGTAAATGTACGAATTGCATAGCATAGCATATGACTAGATGACGAATCAACGAAATCAAGAATTTGCCTTCCGAGGCACAACACAATGTTTTTGTTTTCAAGAAATTACCCAGGTAAAGTCAGAGAGTCCCGGCAAGTCCAAAGTATCTCATCTGTCAATGCTCAGGGAGGATGGGTACTAGATCGATCGTCGGGGTTGCCCGGCGCCTATCTCCGGATTTCCCACGTTTTTGGCTTTCATGTGAGGATATGGCTTGCACGCCCTTTGACATGCCATCTTTGAGGCGAAACTTTGACTCGTCCCGCTCGAATTCAAGCCTTTGTATCTTACCAGTGGCAGAAGTCAAAAGTCGCAAGGCGCAAGGCGAGATCCGTTGGTGATGCTGTCATGCCGACTTTGCAGTCACCGTGAACGACAACTAATCAGGCAGTCCCCTTCGAAGAAGGCGCGGCAGTCCGTATCTTTGGTCGGAAGAGAGTAGTGAGTCAGCTCGAGCGTTCGAACGGCTGGCTCATGAAGGAAATGGAATCGATTGTCCTGTATACGAACCTAGGGCTCAAGTCTGTGGCGGTACCACTGTGCATACGTCGCCATCGCCCGAGGAATGCTCCGACTGCACTGGAAGTTTCGCGTCTGTAATGATGACCTGAGCGGGAGTCTCAATGCCATCGATCGTGTTGACTCGGTCCTCCATGTTCGTATCCTTCATCCACCATTTGATGATTGGTAAGCAGCAAATTGGTCCAGCAGCGACGAACTGTGGGATTGTTAGCGGAAGAGATTGGTAATAATGTAGGAGTGGACGTCTCACAGCCCATGCGGTGCCGAACATGAACTCCTTGGAGTATCCACTTAGATCCAAGGAATAGCCAGCGATCTGGCATGCGGCATTGAGCAGTCGATACAGCGAGGCGTATACAGACAGCTTCGATGGAATTGATCAGCTGGCGTGTACGATTCGACCTTTTGAGCGTCACTCACCTCGTCCGTGTTGTTGCTCAAAGCTCCCATGAACCAGTAACAATAGCAATTGTACGTGGCATCCATAAATCCGTACATCACGAACACGAAACACGCGACCCCATAGCCATCATCATACACATCGATGCGCTGCTCCTCATTCAGACCGTATTTCGTCTTCTTCATGATGAAGTAGCCGCCGATCCAGAGGGCGTTGAACGCGACAAAAACATAAACTCCCGCCCAGAATGCACGCTTCCGTCGCTTGAACGGCAGTTTATCCGTGAAAAGGTTGAGGATCCAGGGTGCGAAGAGCTGGACTGCTCCGGACAAGAAGGTGTTCAAAGCACGACCTCTGACGGTGAAGTAGACTCCGTTGAAGTCGTTGTTTTGATAGATCTGCAGAAAAAAAAAACATCAGAGATTCCTTCGGACCAAGCATTTTGTGAACACGACATACACACCACATAATAGTTGACAGCCCAACACATCGGACAGAAAAATATCATCCACCAATTCCTCCTACACACTTGATACGACGAAATCAACTCCTCCCGGAACGTCTTCTGATCCTGCAACAACACCACCCTCGTCCCGTCCTCCCGCACAATAAACTCCCAAGGATACAAACACAGCCCCAAAAACGCTCCAACCAACATCAAAGCAAAAAGCCCTATATACGTCCCATCATTCACTCGACTCCCATTCCCCACCCCAGACTTCCAATTCTGCCCCACAGGAATCGCCGCCCCGATCACCACCCCGGATTGAAAAATCGTCCAAAAGATAGACACGTACAACCCTTTCTTCTCCTCCGAAGCATAAGCCGTAATCGCCGTGCCCTCCGCACACCACAGAAACGCAGCCGACAATCCACACCAACAGCCCCCGAAGATCACGAACGGGACGTTTCCCGTGTGGTTATAGCACCACAGACTCGCGGCGTAAGCGGCGTACCCGAACCCCCCGAACCAGAGCGTCCATTGCAAGCCGAAGTAGTTGAGACAGGCCGGGGCGATGAAGCAGAACGTTGTGAAGACGGTGTACAAGGCGATGTTCGCGATGTCGGAGAGCCGTTGGGTTTGTTGGCCCGCTCCGCCGAGGAAGGTGATGACGTTGTACATTCCTACCGTCAGGAATAAAACCAGGCCTAGCATGATGGCTTGGATGCGTGGGTGGGTGTAGGCGCGGATTTCGAGGCCGAAGACATGGTGGGGGTTTGGGAGCTGTGATGAATGAAGATGGGATGGTCAGTTCAGGGAATTCAAAATGTACGAGCAAGGATTCTTCTCTTCTGCTTGGGATGGATTGATGGAGGACGACTCAACTGATGAACTCCCTCGCAAATACTTCCACTCCTCCGGTTCATCGGGGAGAAGATTCTTTTCCCCTTTCTTCCGCGGTGCTCGAGGCACGAGCGCTTGGAAACGTGACCAACGCATCTCCTCCGATCAGGCGCGATTTCAGCCTTGCCTTGCTGCTGGCTGGCAAAAGTCATAAGCTCTCGCACGACTACTGAATTCCGGAAGGTGAGTGATAAAATGACAAGCATGTGATGATGGTATACCCTGAGGCGCGCGTCGAGTGGATGTATGTACTGTAGGGATAGACAGAAGTTTTGATCCCCTTAGGAGAGGTTCTCAGCTCCGATAGGTCTGATAGAAGGGGAAACTTCTGTCGGCAGTGGTAGTGGTGGTGGAGAACTTGCTGGTTTGTGAATGTTGCCGTCGGCCCGCGCGCCGTTAGAACTGCGACTGCATGTACTGATGATATCTAGGCACTCCACGCCCGCTCTTTCGAGAGGGCGGAGTGATTGATTGACGCAACCCCGGATACCGGCGGTCTATCTCTACCTACCAGGTACCTACTTGAAGGGCGGTATTATTCCGATCTGTTCGAAGCCTAGCAAAAACGTATTTCATACCAGATCTCATGATTATGCCCCTATTCAGTTCCTCTCATCAAGCAGACTACACTACTGCACTCCTCTGCTATGATTCATTGTTTCTACTATTGTCGTCGCAGTCGCATAGACACGGCAAAAGCCCAATCTTCACTGCCGATAGCATTTATTGCCAATCTTGGGGTTAAAATTATCCGATGATAAGAGTTCCTGGGACACCGACATATGCAAGGCGCATCCCAGCCAAACGTGCGGAGGCTCCAGTGCTCCGGCCACGAGGATAGTCTGCTCGGAGCCTCGGACGCAAATTTCGCGAAGCAGATCATTATTAGTTCTATTGTTGGGCGGCAGCTGGAGAGCGCATGTGAGAGAGACGAGGAGCTTGGTGGTTCTTGTGTACAATGAGCAACCAGTCACCGGGCCGGGTTGTGGTCCGTCTGTCAAGGTTTTCGGTGGTATCATTATACCCTGTGGAAGGGTCTCCGAGCCCTGCGACTGCTGTCCTACCGAATGGGAGAAGTAGATTGTGCCTGTGTTGAGTTCCAATCTACCACTCGGGCGGCGGACGCTATGACTCGGGTCTTGAGAGAGGTGTGTCGGAATAGTCCTCCGTCTCGTTGGCAATAACAGCGAAAGCAAGGATTCTCCACTTTCTTCCCACCCAGCTCCCTACCTACTCGGGTTCTTCACGCGTGATCCACGTGCAGTGCGAGACTTGCCGATCTTCATTGCAAGGGGGAGCTTCTCCTGGACCTTCCCAGCAGACGCAGGAGGAATAATCGCGTTGAAATGTTTCATCATCAGACAATTGGAAAGGTATTTCCAACCAGTAGATACCGCTACTGGTCTAGATCCAAACGCCATTTCTACCTCTTTTAGACCTGCTTCTCCTGTGCAAGAACCGTCATCGGACTACGCCAGAACTATGCCTCGTGTCATAGAAAAAGAGGATTGCTTCAATTGCACCATTAATGGTCGTCTTTGCGACAGAGCTTTGCATAGGTGTGGCACCTGCCCTGATGCATCTGAAGTCTGTCGGGGCTATCCGTTGAACCTCCGCTGGCGTAAAGGACTGACTACGAAGGACAAGCAGAAGGTGAGCACTGTTTCGTCTCATGTTCCACTGTGGTTCGAGAAATGACTGGTGTCGCAGTTCCGGTTCAAGTCAAGACGACGTTCGTCTGCTTCCGTCACGAGTCCACAACGCGTCACACCGCCAACCCCAAAGGTTGAAACTGTCCAGTGGGTTCCTACTCCCTGTGCAGCGCCCATTGAGACAATCTTGGAGCAGTCGGAGCCCTTTCCCACGCCCACAGAACTGCTTCAAGACTCCATCAACACGGAGCCGCTATTCTTCAACGATTCCGTCCCGGACCCTGGTGGATTGTTATCCTTTTCTCCATGTGCCATTACGCCGGCGAAAGATGAATCACCAGAGAGCACCGGAGACAGCTCTCAGACCCAAAGTGGCGAAGACGCCGACGATGCCGTCATAAGACAACCAGACCTCGAATGGATCAGTCGCACGCCACCCATCTGCGACAGCTCTTTCACCCTTGGTCCAGTACGGCCGCTTTCCCTCCAAATCGATCCCGATCTGCAGGATGAGCCATGTACAGCTTGGCCAGTCGTGGACTTGTGGCAAGAATACCGGAGCTTCACCAAGCCTGCTCAAGTGGGAAGTCTCTTAGATCTGTGTGAGGTTGCCTTTCGAGTAATCGTCAACATTCGCATACTGACGTTGGATGCAGATAATGCCGAGCTTTGTGCTCTGCCCATCACGCACGATGTACCCGCGAATCCATTCCGGTGCGATAATAGTCATGGACAGTCCAAGTATCAGATTCATGCGGTCATCGCCTTCTCGACGCAGTATCTCAGTCATTCGGAGCAAGTGTCACCGCATGATCTCATGTGGCTCAAGGATACAGCGACGAAGCAGTATAGTCTTGCACGGAAAGGGAGACAGGGACACTACCGCAGCTCTTTCCTCGACACTCTCTTGATTATCTGCACGTTAGAACATCTGCACCGAGCTGCTGGTCCTTGGCGAGGATTGCTCTCCGACGTGATGGAGATAATTGAGTCATCCGGCGGCGTGGCGAGCATGCCCAAATCGACTCGTCAGCAGGCCCAACTGGCCATGTTCCTGTGGTGGGATGTCACGTTGGCACTGCTGTGTCGCTCACGCTGCGTACTACCAAGGCAGTACTACGATTTTGTGATGGCCTGTGAGGATGAGACGACCGAGTGGGACTTCTTCTCATTGACAGGCGTGCCGAAGAGCCTGTTTCGCACGCTAGTAGAGCTGGTGCGGCTAGCACATGAAAAGGAGCGCACCCTGACCATGACTTGGGCGACGTTTAATGATGCCAAGGTGCTGGAAATCGAAGAAGACCTCCGTCGCGCGGAGACGCACATACCGGCGGCGTTCAACATCAGCGACGGTGACAGCTCTGAAAGAGTGCAGCAGAAGCTTGACTCCGTAGCTTGTGTACAAGCCTGGAAATTTGCGCTCTTGTTGTACTCGGAACGAGTCTTCCACTGGGAACGAGAGGTTGGTAGGCAGTCAGCACAGATCACTGCTCTCGCGAGGCAGACTTTGGACACTGTACGGAGTTGTCGTCCGCCCTATGCAATCCAGAAGCAGGTGCTTCTTCCTGTCTTTATAGCGGGTTCAGAGCTCGATGACAGCTACTCGAGACAATTCGTGCAGCAGTATTGCGAGACGTGGCAGGCAAAGACTCGCTACCAGCTGTTTCGAGATTCCCTCGGATTGCTGAGGACAATATGGAGTCGAAGAGATCGTTGTGGTGGAGATGTGAATGTTTGGTGGGGATCTGTTCTTCCGGAAATGCAGCAAACGGCGTGGCTAGATGGAAAGGTAGTGCCTGTGAACTTTCTGCTGGGATAGGTGCATAGGAGTTCAATTGGGCAAAGAGAGGGACATTATGACTCGGTCTGTACCATATCCTTGTTACCCTGGATGATAATCAGCGTCAAAGGTTTTAGCAGTAATGATACGCCGTTGAATACTCACTTTTGTGGTCGGATCAAGCACAACTCTTGGGTTGTTAGAGTTCACCCAGCCGAGAAAGGGCTCACTAACAGTGTATCCGCAGATGTCTTGGAGTGCTCTTGGCAGCGTCTTCACCTTTTCCAGGTCCATGTTGAGGTAATGGTTCTCTTCCTGCCTAAGCCAGCCTCTGCGATACAAGGTTGTAATTCGTCAGCAACACGAAATCAGTCATCTCGTCGGACAACTACCTTGTCATGAAGCAACTATACAGGAGCCGCTCCTCATCCTCAGTGGTATTGCTTCCGCCGCCATGATAACACGATGCGAACATCATGAACGCGTCACCCTTTTCCAGCTCTGCAGGAACCGCGAGATCGTCATCTGGTTCGCGCTCGTGCTCCCACAGATGAGATCCAGGGATGAAGCGCGTTGCGCCATTCTGAATGGTGGACTTCTTTGCGGCGACGAAAAATCCGATGCCAGTATCACGTTGAAGGTCGTCAGGATATTTGTCAGCTCTCCGAGCAACCACTTGGTCAATGTCAGCGATGTGGACCGGGGTAGGTACTTAGAAACCGGGGAGGAGGCATGTGCATACCATGATAACACCAGTCATCGCGATGGAGAGGTTGTGCTGTTGCACCTGGCCGGATAGAGAAGCAGACGCTATTCATAATTTGAGGTTTGGAAGTCGCATAAGTCTTTTTGTGTCCGCTCCAGAACCAATTCTTTGTCGTCAAAAATTTGTCGCACACGGCTTGATAGAGTGGATGCATTACAACCTTCTCGGCGCATGTCCTGGAATTGGGTATCAACGCATAGCAGCGTCTTGTTTGTTCCGGGAAAAAGTCGCCTTCCCAGGGCGTATCAGCTTCGAGCAATGGTCGCAGATCATCTATTGAAGAAGCTCGTCAGCAGCATCTCATTGGACATCATCATTGAGTCGCACTTTGAATGGTGTCGAGGTCCTCATGAGGAACTGCGTTCTTGATCACACAGCCTCCAGCTATCTGCTCGCCAATTTAATATAAGAAGCCCCAAGAGGAGTACTGATCACCCCAGTACCTTGAGCGCCTCTACGACCTCATCGACTGAAGATGTGTTGTCCAAGATGGCCACCTTCGGCAGGTCTGCCTTGGTCGCATGGCCGTTGGCAGTGCCGTTGGTCTGCTGCTTGCTCGGGTGATAACTTGTGGGATCAGTGTGCGCGAGACCTAATCCAGGTGCCATTGCGATCGAGTTCCGGTCCCAAGCTGAATTGACGTACTAGTAGACGAATGCCATCATGAGATCTCGGCGGGAGGCCTTTATGTCCAACCAGTAGCACATATTCGAAGTACCAAGCCAACATTCGCACGCCATGCAGGCAAGGGAAAAATTTCCGCTTCGGAACCAGTTAGGGAAATTCGGCACTGAAAGTGTTGGAAGTGGTATTCAGCGATTGATCAACTTGCCGAGACCGGGTTAGAATATATAGGCTAGATACCATGTCCTACTCGATTGAGTAGTTATCACGGCCGCCACCGAATCCTGTTGGTTTCTGTAGCGTCCTGCCGCGCAGTAGGCCCGAATCAGACCAACATGCATGGACTTGCAATACGAGTTCAAGCCGTGTCCAATATCCAAAACCACTGGCGCGCGGACGAAGCTCTAGCGACAATGGCAACATGAGAGTCCACAGCACTCGCACCATGTCCCCGACGAGGGACCGGTCTATCAGACTACCCAGGGCGACTTAGTACTCGAATGCGCCCTGCCTGTCATTTCCCAAGCTCTTGCACTGGCGGTTTTGTGGATAGGAGGCCAAGGCGAAGATGACCCTTACTCTGGCGTTACTGGGTCCGAGCAGATGTTGAACGCTGGTGAGAAGGGAGGCATAGCTGAGATTTGAGACTGCGGCGCCTCGCATCCGAGGCTTTCGCGTAGGGTGTAAGATGAGGAATGAGGTCGTGCACTGGAGGAGGGAGAGAGAGAGTTGATCTGCTGAGTCGACGCTTAGTCAGGGCCGAGGCGCGATTCCAAGCCTTGGCGGACGGGGCAGGTCAGACGTTGACCATGAACTGCATCATGCTCCTATACAAGGCACTCACGACTCCAAGACCGAGTGGCAGTATGGAGCGAGTGAAATATGGGAGAGTAGTCTCACGGCAGATCCCGTGTCTCATGTATAGGCAAGTATCTGCACGGAGTCGTGCTAAGCCCATTTGCCGAGCACGCCCATCAATACCATACCGCAGATGAGCGAGAACAAGGCACCCAAAGTCTTGAGAAGATTGGCATGCAGCAGTTCTGCTCCCCCAATGACCCAATCTCTGGCCCACATATCGACCACGCCCACCCAAACCAAGATACCAGCCGAAAGGGCATCCAACGTGCCGAATGTGATGACCGTAGCCGGATTGTTACCATTGAAGCTATCGAGGACGCCAATGCCAATCGCCATGCCGAGAGGCGTTATCAAAGTGAAAGCGAGTGCCATGAAGAACTTTCCCGGCCAGATAGCACCTGGAAGAAGGGCAATTCGTGCCCCCAGGGCAAGACCTTCAAAGAATTGGTGGAAGACGATCACGACGAGTAAGGTGCGATAGAAGCTATCGCCAGCGACGACCAGAGTCAGGCCGATCAAGATCGAGTGAAATAGAATACCTGCTTCCATCACCGACACGGACAGCTTGGTGTTCGCCCCACCGCCATGATGATGGTCCACGGCAAGCAGCATGTGGCGATGGGCCTCGTCCGATGAAGCTCCACTGGGACTACCTTTGTCTGCAGCATTGTTGTCGATGACGGCGGCGGAATCAGAGTTGCCTCGAGCCTCTTTTGCTGCGACGTATCGGTGACCGCAGTAGTCAATCAGGAACGAGAGGAAAATGCCGGCCATGACGATTGCGGAAGTCGTGCCTTCATAGCCCAGCTCTCCGATACACTCGTTCGAAAACATGAGCTCGGCATGTGTGTACAGCTGAATCCTGTTAGCAAAACACCTTCGCAAAGCGAGATGATCCTACTGACATGGATGAAGGCTGTCGCGATGATAATGCCTGTACCAAATTGCTTGACCACCATGAGCATAGTCATCGCGATGCTGGTATCCCTCAGGCCAGGGATCTTGTTGAACATCATTGGTGCGAAGACACCAATGGCACTGGTAATCAAGATGACGAAAAGTGTTCCGACACGAAGGCCGACATTGTACTCGCGTTCTTGCAGACCACACGACAACCCTTCACTTTCGCTATGTCCAGTGCAGTGCCTGCAATTCAGTCAGCCTAGGGCCTGTCAAATCGAAGAGAAACGACCTACTCAACCCCGGCATGAAAATGACAATGCTGGTTCTCTTCCTCGGCTCCAGCGCTACCAGCTGCTTCACTGGCAGTGCTGCTCTCTTCCGAAAGGATGGTGACCTCTTCTCCTGCGGGATCGAGACAATAGATCTCAGCGCCGTGAGAATGGCATCCAGTGTACTGAGACGGAATCTCTCCGGTTGGCGTTGCTTCTACCTGGACCTCATTGCCGGCTCCGTTGATACAGAAGATCGCAGTCTCATGCGAATGACAGTCGGTCACAGCAGTCGTCTGAACGGTCCCCGTTGCAGTTACAGTTGCACTTGCAGACACCGGTAGCGTCGCAGTTCCAGAGACCGCATATGTCGCCCGAGCACTCTCAGATCCATCTGGACCGAAGCAGTACTCAACGCTGGCACCTTGCTCGGAGTGATTGTGGCATCCGGTGTATGTCGTTTGGGCGTTTGCAGTGCCAACGATGAGCGTGAATAGTACAACAGCTCTCGTCAACATCTTCATTGTAGCCTTCCCCAACCCTATCTAAACTTGGTGTAGTTGCTCAGCTTATAACCAGAAAATGCTCAATATTCCCGTTGGAACAAGGCCCATGACGACCCACGAGGAGTGCAGGGACTGCACGTTGAAGTCTGCCCACGGCCATAGCAGCGACGGTCAACGCCGAGCAGAAGCATGCAAAAGTGCCCAGAGAACTGTATGGGCGAGGGGTGGGATGCTGCTTGGCTGCGCGTGCGGCTGTGAGAGCGGACGGACATCCATACGCTTATGGAAAAGTGGCAGATGCGCCAAGTTGAATGAGGTTTCACAGGCCCAACGACGAGTGGAACATCAGTCTTGTTTGCTGAGAAGTGACTGGAGAATGACTGTCAGATGCTTGGATGTGATGGGGCGGCGATGCGCCGAGAAACCATCAAGGTCAGACTTGGCTCTTCTTTCACGCTTCGCGCTTGGGTCTTGGCTTCTTGGTATAGAATATCGCTTGGGTTCCTGAATACAACCGCATGTGCATTGAGTTATGGGCGCGCATCACGCCGCAAGCCTGAGAGTAAGCCGAACATTGGCCAGACAATCATTTTGGTAGTCATGGACCAACAAGAGGCGACTCTCTCAACGTCAGACTTCGTGGGATGACTGACTGCAGATGGACTTCTTCGTGGCCAGAGATTTCCGGAACGAGAGATGAAGGAAGCGCCTTCGCTTGCGCACTCGCTTACATCTTGGATCTCCAGATCAACGGTGGGCCCACAGCAACATGTCCTCCGAGTCCGTGGAGTGACATATGGGACACCACGGTGTCGGCCACGCAGGGCAGGCATTGGCAAAGTCGTCAGTGGAGGCCGAAGGTCCAGCCTTGACATCTCCCAAGGCTGTTCAACGGGGAAATTCCGATGTCTGTGCCGTCGCTCGCTGAACCGTGATGGTTTAAACCTGTCCAGAAGAAGTAAAAGTGGTCCGGAGCGTCTCTTGGCCATGGACTGGTATAGATGACTTGCGGCGTTTCCCTCCACATGGTCTGTGGGGGATGTTAAGCACATGTTCGTATAAAGAGATGGAGGGCCCCTAGTCAGTTAGACCTCACTACCTCCGGCCTCATCATCGCCTCTCATTGCCAAGATGCTATCCTTCGCCGCCCTCTTAGCTGCTCTGGCAGCAGTCTCAGCCGCTCCCATCGAAGAGCGACAAGCCCCATTCGAGATAACCATGCAAGCACCATGGAATTCCGGAGCCATCACAGAATTCCAGATCCACGGCAGCTGTAATTCTTCACAGAAACATCAAATCCTCACAGGCCTCAGCGAAGCCATCGAGCTCGCGCAACACGCCAAAGACCACATAAATCGCTGGGGCAACTCGAGTGAAATCTACCAAAAGTATTTCGGCCACGCGCCTACAATTCAAGCGCTCGGAGCTTTCGACATTCTCGTCAACGGCGACAAGCGAAACGCTTTATTCCGCTGCGACGATCCAGATGGAAACTGCGCATTGATGCCAAGTATGTCCCCCCCGTCCAACAAAGCCAACCAACTCACGTTCAATCCTAACCAACTCTCCCCATAATAACAGCCTGGGCCGGCCACTGGCGAGGAAGCAACGCATCATCCGAAACCGTCATCTGCCCAACCTCCTTCTTCCTCCGTCGTCCCCTCTCCACAGTCTGCGCTCAAGGCTACAATGTCCGAGAATCCTCTCGTCTGATTTTCTGGGCTTCGGATTTCCTTCATCGCCTTTACCACGTCCCGGCTTTCGGACAGGGATTTATCGAGCACTTTGCCGAAGGCTATGAGGGGATCATCGAGGCTGCTGCGGAGAATAGTCCTAATGCTACTCATGACTCTGATGGGTTGCAGTATTTTGCTCTTGAGGCTTATGCTTATGATGTTATTGCGCCGGGGGTGGGATGTCCCGGTCCGAGTGGGCCGCCGAATTCAGAGAGTAGCTCTTCTGTGCCGGTTGCTACTGCTACTGCAACAGTTGCGGCTGTTGAGGCATCTGCTACCGCATCAGCGTTACCAGATAATTGTCACACTCACGCGAATGGGGATGTTCATTGCTCATGAGAAAGAAAGCAATACCATGATGAAAAGATTCAAAACCCCCAACCCCTGTATATATATATATGTATACAACGCACCTATAAAACCAGTCCAAGCCTACCATCACAAACCACACCTCCCTTTTCACCTAACGTATAAGAAACGTCGTATCATCCCTCCCCTCCTCAACATGTTCCTCCATCATCTCCCCCTTCATAACCCCATGCACAAACCCATACCCCACAAGTTCATGCTCCTCACCATTAGGCCTCAAAAGAAAAGGAAACCTGCCCCCATACAGAATCACCACAACATCTCCCACTCTCATATTCGCAGGCCCTAATCCCATACGCCCCGAAGCGGAAAGGAAGTATCTACGATTCTGACAAGCTTTTAAAATTGCGGTGCTGGCGCGCGATGCGCTTCGCATTTTTGCGTCCATGCCTGTGTCCGGGTCGACGACGACGGTGGATGCTGCTGAGGCGGAGCGGATGTGGTGAGGACCCGAAGGTTCGGATGGGGTTTGAGTGGCTACGCCAGTTTGGGTGCTGGAATCTGCGTATTCGACGACTGTGTCGGCTCGAGAGACGGATCTCAGATTGATGCGGGATTCGCTTCGATAGAGGTCTCGGCCTGCTTCGGAACCCATTTGCACGGTCGTGGCAGCGGATGCGTTGCGGAGGTGATTGTGCATGTGTGGGTCGGGAGATCTTCTGACTTGTACTGTGGATGAGCTTGAGCCCGAATGCATACGACTGTGCGAAGTGCCGTTTCCGTTACGTCCGGATCCAGAGCTGCTTGTGGCGACGGTCGAGCGGGATGGCGAGCGGGAATGAATCGACCGATTCCCTGAGCCTCCTCCAGAGCCTGAGCTTCCGGTCATGGTGCTATTGCGAGAAGGAGTGCGGACTGAATAGGACTTTCCTCGTCGAAGGGAACCCGAATTGCCTATGCCATGGCCTGTGCCTGTGCCTGTGCCTGTGGTTGTGGTTGTGGTTGTGGTCGCGCGAGATGGTGAACGTAGCTGAAGCTGCACAGGAATTTCATCCACTTCTTCCGAGATTGTCGAAAATCGGGACACGACGTCCGAGCGCATTTGGTACTCCATTACCATTCCGTAGCCGGTACCTGTGTGGTTGACTCGTTGCCAAGTGGGTGGAACGTGGTGCTCTGCCAAATATTCTACTAGAATGTCAAATTCTTGCATGTCTCGCTCTGTGATGGGTTCGTTTTCAAGATTCACGCCTCCGTAGAGCGTATCAATCAATGGCTTGTGTGCACTTCCATCTTCGTCTCGGGTTGCACAAGCCTGACTCAGGCGCAGGACCTCCTGCAGGAAAGCCTTTAAAGATTTTGGGTCATCGGTGACAGGCATGGAAACGGTAGCCACATATGCAGCTGGCATTTTATCGACCGCAATGCCTTTCGCGCTGAGGATTTCTGGATCTACTGAGTTCCAGCTGACTTTTGCGAACTGGCGCGCGTGAGCACTGAATACAGCAGAGAACGGCGCCATGGGAGCTCCAGAGACTGCAAGAACTTCAGGCAATGGCGTCCAAGAAGGCATGGCGAGTTCAGCCCAGCTGTCACCTTTTGGTCGACTGGCGTGCTCAAGAATGTTCAGATCATGGGCTTCAAGCATTGAATACCTTGCGGCGTCCGTGAGTATGGTGGCTAGTGGTCTGCTGTAATCCGGTCGGAGCAGAGGAGGTACTTCTCTCGCAGAGGACAATCGTAGATATAGCCCAATGATTGCATAGACGTAGTCTTTCGGCTCACTGCATCGGAAATGCCATAGCGGCTCGATGAAGTCTGAGAATTGAAGCGCCCTGGAGATTCCGTTCGCACCTCCAGAAGCTTGCTTCTTATGCCAATCAAGGAATTCTCGCCTGCTTCCACCTTCGAATGCTTGCCGATTCCAGCCTCGATAGCGACCAAACTTGTCCACAAAATCGATAAGACTAGCAAGGCACTCGTAATTTCTTTTCGCAGGGCCAAGTCGCTTTGGTAGGAAGTTTTGCTTGTATACGATCCAGGTAAACACTCTTAGCAGCTTGGACAAGTCGAACTCGTATATACCGCAATAACATCGACTTTCTGCTGCAACGGCCGCTTCTTGCACCACCCAGAGCCGACGAAACCAAGGCCTGGCGAAAAGGCTCAGTATTGGCGTTTCATCGAAAGGAAAAGAAAAGCCGTGGTTGTCTCTATTCTCTAAATAGAAATGCGGATGATATGCATCATGTCTGGCCAGATCGTACTTCATCTCTGCTTTCAGCTCCATGTAAGTGTGGAATGCCAGGCCAACCGTTCCGTCGTCTGGCCCAAGCCAAATTAGATTTCTTTCCGCGCGCTTGTAGATCTCGTGCATTCTCGACACCTGCTCGCTCCTCTCCGCTTGGTCCGCTTGGTTTATGCATACCGAGTCGATCCAGAGGAACCGATAGTACTTCTTTTCTCGAAAGCGGCGCAGGACCTCTGCGGCACTGAGTGGTACATCGAATGATGAGCCATTCACCTCAATTGTGAAGAGTGCTGTTGGATCGCCCCAGACATAGGATATCGTTTCATAGACTTCCTCCTCCGCTTTTGGCAGAGGGATCTGAAACAGGCGACATCTGAGCTCATCTTCCTCCGCACCGGGCTTGACTTCCAGCAGTCGGATCTCTTGTCGACGGACATCCAGAGGCCGGTACGGGCTCTTGATAATTTTCGAAGCTACCTGACCGATCACATTCTTGACTTTTCTGCGAGGAATCTCAGGCTTCCCACCGCTTCCACCTTTCTTTCCTCGACCTTTGAAGAAGTCCATTGCGCCAGCTAAATCCAGCCCGAGCTAATATGGTCGGCCATGGTGCTCGTCAGGCACCAAGTTGAGTGCCACCGAACAGTAGGCAGTGAGCACACATTTTCGTTCTCCTGTGACCCCTTCCGCTAGCTAGCCCAATGCCTGTAGAATCTCCATATCAACCAAACCAACAACTTACAAGACCCCAGATCTGGCCTGGATGCTTGTCAAGGTTCATTGAGACCGGATCCGGACCTGAACCTAGCCGCCGTAGAGGAAGGTACAAGCTACGAAGAGATCGCATTGTACCTACATTATTATCGTTCCGTCGTCGTCGTCGTGGCCACGGACTATTGGCGCTCTCGCTTTTACGTGCCGCAGGATCTGATATGCCAAATGTGGCGCATGGGAAGGGAAGGTCGCAGTCGCAAGAGGAAGAAAGCAACGCGTCGTCGACTCGAGCGCCAAGCCACGGGAAAACCTCGTTGCGAACCGAGATGAACGCTCCTCACGGACAACGACATCGCTGAGTGACAGAGTCATCATTGATGAAGCGAAGATTGACTTCAGTACTATCCGGAGATGGTGGAATCCATTCTCACACGATGTGTACGTCGAGCAAGAGCATGGACGCAAATGGTTGGACAACTTGATCATGAAGAAGATCGCACCTCGGGAAGCGCGATGGCCTTGTCGATATCCTGAAGGCCGAGCAAGAGCGTGAACAAGAACATTGACGTTAACGTGCGTCGTGATAGGAGAACAATACCTACTGGAGCTGGATGGTATACACACACCTGCAATTATCTCGCCGAAGCCCATACTTCTAAAGCGAAGCTGTGTTCATACGTTGCGGCTGTATGAAACGCATGCACTGAGTACGGGCGCCCGCCGCCAGGCTACAGGCTGCTGGAAGGGAACAGTGAGCAATGTGCGTTGACATCGTTTGATGCAATGGAGCCAGTCAAGTGACATTTCACCCAGTGGTGCTAGAGCGCCTGAGAGAAGTATGCATGATATGATGATATCTTGACATTACGATCATGATTATCTCCGTCCAGCAGGACTATCCTATCCATCGAACTCAGCGCTCAGGTATCACTTATGCTTTCACGCTCAAAAAAAATGTATGTACAAAAAAAACTGTGCTGTTGTGCCATGCTTCGCTGTCAAGCATCAAAAAAGCTGACCATTCCGCCTCAGTTCACAGGTCACAATGCCATCTCGTAGCTCCTGCTCGTGACCGGTCTCCAGCCATCACCACCGTCCTCGTCCCGGGCACTTCCCGCTGTTTGAGGTCTTTCTGCGAAATTGAACTCGCTGATCTCGCTCCAGGAAGGATAGTGCACACTCGGCTCAGCCAGGTATCGATTCTCTTCCGCAATTCTGTTCCGTAATAATGGACTGGGATTGCTCTTGCTGGGTGTCAAAGGACTCACTCCGGGGACAGAATACACCGACGAGGAGGACTGGTTGAATTTCGCGAAATTCTCCCGGAATGGTGAGCCCTTGGCCGGCGATGGTCGATGGAAGGCCGGCGTAGGCGGTGAAGGTTTACATTCTGCAATGTGTCCATGTCGGCGCCAACGTGGAGAGAAGGGTATTGGTGATCCTCGCATGTTTCGCAAGCTGCCGGCGAGGAGTGCCGGAGGAATGTTGGCTGGTGTTCGATTGCTAGAAAAGCCATTTCCTGGCGCGGAAGGGTTGGCGTTTGCGTCTAATACTCTTTCTTGGTCTGAAAGTGGTAACGAGACCCAGTTCGGCGAGTCTGGTGGTGAGCCCGGTGGGCCAACAGGGCCTATGCTGTCAGGATCTGAGTCCAGAGATTCTCCTCGACCCAGAAGATCCGTTCTCTCCTCTGACGAGGTGATCGATGCAGTCTCAATCATCACAGCGGGATTGTCAGCGTAAGGAGGAAAGTTGCGACTGTTGTCTCGACTGTGTGTCGTGAAATGTGCAGCGTCTCGTTCTGCAACGGACGCCAATGGGAGTGCATCGTCGGCTTCTTGCTCAGCGACTACGAAAGGATTCGTCGTCCACGTTGACACTCTCCGCGACGGCGATTCAGTGTCCATTTCTGATATCGCAGCAAGGTCGTCACCAGGCAGCTCATGAGAGTTGCTGGGGCCCGGAACCGGAAGCAATTCTGGAATTCCTCTTCTGATTGTAGAGTTTGACTTTTGAAGACGCGTTGGTCCTCTTCCGTACACTGGATGCACAGGATCCTCTTGTATGACTTGATGCCGTACATAAGGCTTTTGGACCGGCTCTGGTAATTTCTCATCACTGTCGTCTGGTCCGAGCACACCGCCAGCTGCCGCAGCATCACCACCACCTCTACCACTCGTCTTACGATTTAAGTAGTTGGTGGCAGCCATGTAGCTTCGGCTGGGCTCTGTTGCCTCCATCCTCCACGGCGTCACGCTCATGTTACGAGACAGATTGGAAGTCAAAGGCTCGGTGGTGGCAGTCGTACAGACTGAACACCTCGCAGGTCTGAAGAACGATCCGCTCTTCTGTTTTCGGCGCCATAAGAGAAAAAATATTGCTGCCGCAATTCCGACGGCGACGAGGCTTACAAGAATTCCCAGAATTATAGCGATGCCTCTATCGCCAGCTTTGCTACCATGCTGTTTGAGCGGGCTTGCACTAGTGCTCATCGAAGGTTGTGCAGAAGTTGTTGCACTTGCAGACGACGACGTCGTCGCAGTTGAAGATGCCGAGGTTCGAGAACTGGGCCTCTGCGTGGTGGAGATTAATGTTGTCGCAGACTTTGAATTGGTCGTCGCTTTGGGGAGGATCTCGGAATTTTGAGTTCGGGTAGGAGCCGCTGGACTACTGGGGATGGATGTCAATGTCGTACCAAATATATCCAGGGTCTGTGGCCAAGTCAAGGCTTGCACGTCGATCGTCGAAGGCGTGTAGTATGGATAGTTGGCAGTGAGGATTTGAGAGAAAACCTCAAGAACGGAGTCGATATGGTTGTGCGTCGTTGTCGGTGCGGAAAATTGATGGTATTGCCCGTCGTCAAAGCCGCTGTTTTGTGCGCTTCCTCCTCCTCCAGTAACTGGTTCGCCTTCGAGCACGTCCAAAGCCGTTTGAGCCGCTGCAGCTGACACGAGTAGTGTGAAGATCCAGCGTTCCGTGTGATAGACAGCTCCCATCCTCGTACGGCTGCGAAAACGCACTCCCGCTATCAGCTTCCAACCCTAGCTCTTTCGTTCTCAAATGTATCATCGAGTGGTATCGTCGGTCGTGGCCAAAAGTTCATCAGTAAAGCACCGAGGCGGATGGGCCGCCATTATAATCAGGTTCATCGAACAAGATTGCGGCTGTCTTGGATGTACGCTTGCAATTAGGCTCTGGCTCATTATCCTGGCTGACTTGCAGTCAGCGCGTGGGAAGGCTGGTGTGATTGCAGGCCAAGTTTAGAAAGATTGCACGTGCCCGAACATGTCCTTGCTGCTGCAAGATGAACGCATGGCTTCGACTTCCTTCGCTGTTCGGTCGCTTCAGGTCTTGAAACGAGTACTGGCCGTTTCTCAATCTGTTTTAACGTTGCCTCGATGCGGGTGCTGTTTGAAGCAAAGTCGAGTGAATCAGCTATTACCCTCTGCCCCGAAGTATCAGTACAATGCGACTCGAGACATGCTGCATTACGCGATTGCTTCTTTCACTTGCAGTCGAGCAGCGGAAATTGAGCAGGCTTCCTGCAGTCGTCGTCTTCAATTAAGTGGTCCGGTCGCCATCGATTGGCTCTGGTGCCACGATGGGGGCTGATAGATGGTTGAGACGGCCATCGATGGTATCATACCTAGCGACTCTCCGAAGCCACTTCTTCGCCATCATGAACACCAGCGCAGCACAGCAGTTTCAACCGATGTACTCGATGTGGCAGCCATGGCGCGATTTGTTCGTAATGCGCATACGAGCAGTCTTGAACACCCGACAGAGCTGGGTCCTGCTCGTCGGAAAGTTGCTGATCTCACCATGTCTTGCAGTCCTTTGACAGCAGTATGCTTGACGCACAGCCGTTTCTCTGTCCCGTCTAGAGTGTAGACCGGTCGTTGTCACTCACGTAGGCTCACACCTTGTGTGGCAAGGCCTCCAGGCTGTCCGGGCGCATTGACATGGCCGTGGTATGAGTGCTGCACGGGGAAATCAGTGCGCTTCGCAGTAGAGCGGCGACCAGCAGCACCACCGCACCGCACCGCACAGCAAAGCAGCACCCGCGTGCGCAGCCGCCTGGCTGTGGCATATGGCATGCATGGATAACATTAGAGGACGCTTGAGTCAGGTATTTGGCTGTGGTCTCATGCGTGTCAGTTGCCGACGGTGCGGTTGTGGCTTTGGGCGCTTGGGAGTGGAAGATTGCAAGCTCTCCTGGCCGTTGGTCCTCTGTTGCTGAAGGGCTCAAGATGGCTGCGGCCGGTCTCAAAACGGACAACTCAGATCGACTTGATGACGCACACTCAGCTCCTCCTTTCTGTTCGTCGGGTAGTCGCCGTTGATGCTGGAGATAGCGAGGAAGGTGCAAAGGTGCGGTGCTTCGCTAGCTCGTTCCATGCCTGCCTGCAGATCTGCAAATTTAGATTTAGACTTTTTCACCAGCCACTGAGAGCGCCTGGCTTGGCTTGGCAGCGGCCGCGGCCGCGGCCTTTCTCCGAAAGCTACTCTGCCCTGCTCTGCTTCCGCGACACTACACTTAAGCACGTCGCCATGGACTATCAGAACCGCGCCGGCTCAAAATTTGGTGGCGGCGGCGTCGCCTCACAGTCCGCAACAAATGCTGACCGTCGCGAACGTCTACGGAAACTGGCGCTGGAGACAATCGACCTCGACAAGGATCCATACTTCTTCAAGAACCACGTCGGTAGTTTCGAGTGCAGACTGTGCTTGACCGTTCACCAAAACGATGGCTCGTACTTGGCGCATACTCAAGGTCGCAAGCATCAGACAAACTTGGCGCGAAGAGCGGCCAAGGATGCGCAATTAGGCAAGAAGCACGAGGGCGAATACACAGGCGCAAATGCGGTGCACATCAAGCGCAATGTCGTCAAGATCGGAAGGCCCGGTTACAGCATCACAAAGACCAGGGATCCGATCACGAGACAAGAGGGTCTGCTCTTTTCGCTCCAATATCCAGAGATCTCGCAAGGCATCGAGCCGCGAGTGCGATTCATGTCAGCATACGAGCAGAAAGTGGAAGATCCTCCTGACAAGGCATTTCAGTATCTGCTTGTTGCCGCAGAGCCCTACGAGACTTGCGGCTTCAAGATCCAGGCGCGAGAGGTGGATCGGCGTGAGGACAAGTACTGGACCTGGTGGGACCAGGACAGCAAGCAGTTCTGGATTCAGATCAACTTCAAGACCGAGCGTGACGAGCGTTTCAGCGGTGTACCTGGTCTTGCACCGACTCGCAGATGATCACGCGAGCACGTGGAGTCAATGAATGAGCACGCTGCCGCAAGCAGTGTCAAGGCGTCCGGTGCCAAACGCAGTACCCGCCATGGCTGCCACTAGCTCGGCGGTAGCGAAAGGAATACTGGCAAAGATGAGTGGATGTTGATGACCTCCTCCAAAGCTGCATTGAAAATCTTGCCGTACCTCCATTCGGGCTTGTCGAGGTCAGCGTGATTTCCTGTCATGATGGAGAGACAGGAACGTGCCATAACGCTGCAATCCTGCAACGCTGCGATTTGCAAAACCAGGCAGGATCACTCGAAAAGCGCATTAGCCACAGAAGGCAGTCAAGTAAGGCAGTTCACTTGTTACGAGCAAGAACATAGCTGATCACTTTGAGGTTTCAAATGATGGCTGCGGGATTGTGACGGCCTAGAGGGCGATCAGTGTTATGTGGTACGTAAGCTCGAAAATCATGTTTCCCTCAGTTTGCGTCCGGCAGGACATTGACTCGGGCATCTCTCATATGCAAGACCGCTTCTGGCTTCGAGGATCTCGCTCTCGATCGGGCAACTTGAACGGCAACATGAACGCCTAGATATTGTTCACCTGCACCGGGACGTCGTTCTGCTCCAGAGCATCATTGTCATGGCTCTTGAGACTGCACGCCGACCGCTCCCTCAATAGGATTCGCAGGTGCAGCCTATTGTCCAGGAACCCAGACCTCACGCGATTGTCGACAGTGCGATCATAGTAGACTCTCAATTGTCGCGAGAACAATAGAAGTTACAGGTACAAATTCTTCCATCTCGCCCTTCGTCCTCTTCTTTGTTCACTTTTCATACCAACATCCCGCATTCGGACCGCTTTGTCTACATCATCGCGACTATCAACACACATCTACGCACAACACCGCATTTCTCAAATTGCGTGCGAACAGCATGACGAAGCGCAAAGCGGAAGAGGTCGAGGCTGGCTCCTCTGACCAACTTAGCAAAGTCGCAAAGCTCTCTCAAAAAGAGTCTCAACCCGACAGCATCAACGAGGCCGACGCTCTCAACACCAGCACCACCAGCAACGCCGGCCCAAACGGCGACACCACCAACACCGAGAGCCCACCCGACGAAACCACTCCAAACTCACCTCAAGCCGACTCCACAACCCTCACCACCGCCGAGGCCACAGACACAGACCCCATCCCACCAAAACCGAAAGGCAAGAAGAAAGCCACCCCAGTAAAAACAAAACCCAAACCCACCCGTAAAACCACCCGCTCCAAAACCGAAACCCCTCCCTCTCCACCACCCCCATCAAAACCAAAACGCATCAACAAAACCCTAAAATCCAAAATCAAGACCCTCCTCACCTACCTCGAAACAAACCCACCCCCTCCCCTCTCCCGCACCACCCTCGAAATCCCCAAACCCCACCTCCTCGCCGCCCTCATGACAATGCGCCAAGACTACGAAATCGGAGATCCGAAATGGGCGGATCTCCAAACCGATGTTGGAGAAGCTGTTATCGAAGAGTTTGAGGCACCGACTGGAACGCTGGGGTTTATGACTGAGTGGGTGGTGCTGGATTTGAGGGTTAAGACGGAGATTGAGAAGATGGTTGAGGGTAAGGTTGAAGGGTGGGGACTTGAGGATGTTAGGTTTTTGGAGGTTGAGGTGGAGATGGTGGGGAGGAGGAGGGAGGGGGAGGCGGCGTGGAGGTTTTTTGAGAGTGTGGAGGATGTGCGGAGTGAGGATGAGGATGAGGATGAGGATGAGGGGGAGGGAAGGAGGTTTGGGGTTTGTCCTATGCCTGCTGCTGAGGTTTTTTGAAGCATCCATCCTCTTTCCTCCTCACGTCCTCAACATATCATACTTCAGTTCCTCCTGCGGCAAATCACGATACTTAATACTAGTCGGATGCATGCTCCTTCCTCACAGGCAAAATTCGCCTAACGTAAAGCTCCCCAACATTATAAGGTTCTGGCTTCGTCTCTCCATCCTCGAGACAAGTTTCGATCACATCGATGTTCGCACCAGGATCCTGACTGAAGAAGACCGGTAACGAGAAGCGTTCGGCACCAGTCTTGTTTCGTACGCGATGGACTGTAGCGACGAATTTCGAGTTGAATTGGCGTTCGAGGTACTAAAGAAAAGAAAGAAAGAAGGTGTTAGTCAGTCACGACAGAGACTGTCACTGATAATGGGGTAAAAAAAACACACCTGTCCGACATTAATAACCATAGTCCCGGGCTTCAGTGGAGCTTCGATCCAAAGACCTTCTCTATTCAGAACTTCCAAACCTGCCACTTCATCTTGCAGGAGTAGTGTGAACCAAGTAAAATCTTAATGCGCTCCAAGTCTAGCATCCTCAGGTCCGCAGTTCATAACACAATCTTCGGGTGTGGCAGGATAGTGCAAAGCTCGGATACTCCATATCGGGTATTGAAAATCTTGGTCGAAAGCATGTTCTTCGAGACCAAAAGCTAAAGCAAAGAGACGGACGAGTTTCATAGCAAGTGGAAGGATTTGGTCGTGATAGGCGTACATATCTTCGCGAAATTTGGAATCTCGGTCTCGGAAGGCCAGATGTTTTGGGCTTTGATGTGCTTAGGTATTTGGCCTTGAAAGTTTTGCTCCGTGTCGATTATGTAGTCGCCGAAGCTGGAAGCTTCTTTCATGTCGCGGCCTGAGGCTGGCGGAGGCAGAGGTTCGTAGCTTCGCATTGACACGGTCTTGAAGGCGTGAGTCGCTTCTTTGGCTTCCTCGGGCGCGGCGACGAAGCACTTCATGGCGTCAAAGACGGCTTTCTGTTGGGCATCAGAGATGTTGTGACCGGAGATGTAGAATAAGCCGCTGGTTGTGCATGCTTCGTAGATCTGCGCGGCAATGGCCTTGCGGTCTGAGAGTTCTGGTGAGTCGATGTTGGAAATGTCGATCGTTGGGATCGAGGTGAAGTTTCCTTTGGCTGCAGCATCTTTATTAATTGTACGATATGAAGCTTCTATGTTACCACCGTAGTAGTAGAAAACCTATACATCAGATTAGTACCTTACCTTACACGCACTTGGTGTGGCTCAATCCGATACATACGCCATCCTTTGCTGCCGGAACTGACTCCGGAGCTTTTTGCTGCTGTTCGGTAATAGTAGCCATTGAGCAAATCGGAAACTTCCAACCAAAGACAGTATGTCTCGTACTTGCTCGCCTGCTCTAGTATTCGTCTATATTAGACAATCACTTTTATAAACAATCCTTCAACGAATGTTGTGCGGACACGCCGGACAGTCATGTCTTAGCAGGGTTCAAGTGGTTTTCTTCGGAATCCGAACACCTTTATACCAAGCCTCGATCACCAGAAGGCAGGTATAGAGGGCGAGATTTCTCTTTCTGATCCTGTTACTGCGCCAAAATTAGTATTGACTGTGAACTTGTTGGTTTGCTTATTGTCGGACGGTCGGGCATATCAGTGGTCACCAAGACGAGGTCCTGTGCTCTACCTGTCGACAAGACATTTCTGACAGGTCTTGCAACCATTTTGGCAGCTATTTTGTCTCTGGGCTCATGACTGAATTGCAACCGACCCTGAAGCAACGGTCGCATAATACCCAATCGTGTGGCAGAGCCGGTAATGCGGAGCTGGTGGCACTGATGCTTTCGAAATCAGGTACAGCTTTGCCATTGGCCGTCCATGTGGTCATTCATCATAATCCACCCCCTTCTTTCGTTGAACATAGTGTAAGAGGCATTGAAAGAGATTCGAACAGTACGACTGTATTGCAGCTCGATCGGTTTCAACTAGCCCACTTCGAGTACCTTTCCCGACTCTTCACAAAACCTCGTACAATGTGTCGGTGAGCTCATCAAAAATACTGCGACCGGGCTGAAAATGCGACGCAGCTCACTTCGCCTCCTTGCCTTCCTTCCCACTGCCAGATGCCTTCTGCAAGATTTTCTTGCTACCAAAATATACTGCTTGCAAAGGACCAATTCCATTGTTCGAGGATCCACAACCGTGACACCGATTACATCTTCCACAGACGCTGGAGCCAAATCCATATTTGTCGTTGTTGGCGCAAACTCCACAGCCTCTGTAATCGGAAGCAACGCCTTGTCCGGTGCCGTTCCCAATCGGGTCGCTGCAGGCTCGACGTGAACGATGCTGATGAGTTTCTGTAGCCATGGTGTGACGAGCTGGAGCCGGTTGAGCTGGTCGTGTTGTGCGTTATAGCTTGATGGTAGAGTTGATGTCTTGCTACTTGCAGACCGTACTTATGAAGGATGGAATTGGGATGCCTGTATCTATGCATAAAGCCGACCAGCCATTCCTCTCGCGTTAACACTGCACGGCACTATGTCATTAGAGCTGGGCAATGCTGGGCTGGATCGACGATTCGACATTGAAGGATTCGATTCTGCCTGCCCACAGCCGCAGCCTTGGCACAATCAATCAGAGACCGAATTGTTGAGTCGGCTTGCAGAGGCGAGGAGTAGTCCATGTGATACTACTGTCTGCGCGCACGCGTCCTGGAAGACGACTCCTGGGAGACCCATGCTGGGAAGGTACTTATCCTGGAGAAACATAGGCGTGTCCGGGGTATCGCGATCTGTTGCGTCCAGTGTCGTGGGAAGGAGAGGCTAGAGACATTTCGTCTGCACAGCGCGATATCGAAGAAGTAGCGGCACCTATTGACTGGTATCCAAAGATGATGTTTCGGATTCGTAGAGTACAGCGTCTGAGCACATCGGAGTGAAAGTGGACACCAGCGGCCCGTAGTGCTTTCGCTCTGATGTGCTCGGGATGCCCTCGGAGGAAGTGGGCCGCCGAGCCGAAAGCCACACCGACTTCACCTCACTCACCTCAGCCCTGCGAATCTTGCCCAAGCGAGGCAGAATTGAGTCACAAATTGAATAACTTCACAATGAATGCAATGACTGAGAAGCAAAAGAGAGAGGCACGATTTGATGGGTTTGAATGAAGATCATTTTTGACTTATTGAAGTACCAAAGGCCACCTGCGAGAGCACCAAGCTAAAAGTTACAAAGAACCTGAATGAATACCACCAAGATCACCAATGAACACCACCAAGCCAGCGAGCAGCGAGAGCATGAAATCATACCAAAGTCGAATCAAAGTCGTGAATGGATTGATTGAGATGCCGAAGTCGTGAAATGTCGAAGTTGTTGTTGAAAGTCGTGATGTGATTTGATGAATGCTGAAGTCGTTTGAATCGCCCTGCCCTTTGCATTCTCTTTGCCCAGTGAGGCCAGACGAAAGACCGAAGGAGTACGTGGGTATATACCCACGCTCAAATCGGGCCGCTCTTATGATATATCACAAGAGCCAGAACACAACAAGTTCGCTACTGCCTTGACCTGACCCAAAAAGGGCGCCAGCAGCTGTATATCAGCGACCCTGTCACCGTGAGGCCGGGCGTTACGACTGCAGCCAATCGCTAAAACAAGTGTGTCTGAACGTTCTGTTTGGTATGCCATCCCTCCTATTTGAACGACCCCAGGCCGCGCCACCCAATGGCTCTTGCCCGCCACCACTGATCTCCGTCACGCTGTCATGCCTGTGCTCGCTGCTCGCTGGATATCTCGTCTCTCTTGCCACCACGAATCTGTGCCTCTCGCTGCCTGTACACCTGCTGTTGTGGTTCGGAAGTCGTTGAAGTCGTTGGGAGTCGGATTTGCTGGTTTCGAGTTGAGTGTTGAAGTGTGTGCTGTTGAAGGTTTCGGCGATGTGGTGGCGAATTTCGTGGTCGGTTAAGTTGTCGCATTTGGTGGGAACGCGCGACGAGTGGTGATGACGGAAGAGTGAGGAGGTTGCTGCCTAAGTCAGAATCGTCGCGACAAAGTGAGGGAAGCAAGCAAACCAATGATGTTGGTACCGCCACCTAGATCTGTCGACTGTGAAGTGTCAGCAAGAAGATCGCGCAATGAGGAAGATGTCTCACCTGATGAGGCGCTGATGCGGCGCATAATGGTGAGGTGTTGGTGAGGCGCTATTGATGCGCGTGCTGGTGTGCTTGATGCTGCAACAGGTCAGTGAGAAGGTGGGCAAGATGAAGATGGTGAGCGACATACGTTGGACATTGATGTTGTTGGTGAAGAAGGTTGATGATGCTTAGTGATGAAGGAAGAACCTTGCTGATGTGTGGTGAAGAAGATTGATGAAGGTTGATGTAAGAAGAGAGTGTGAGGATGAGAGTTGGTTGTTGGTTGGTTGTTGGTGATGGAAGTGGAAAGAAAAAGTTCAGGTTTGGAGGCGGAAATGGAAAATACTTATACTCCAATCTGCGGGATGTGCCGCTCTGCAATCAATCTCACCTGGATGACGTACGGCCGTGCTGGAAAATATCAACGACGTGTGATCCAGCCACTTAGAGGCGAGGATCAGTAAACTCCTGAGCACGGCAACAACGGTGACGACACAGTGATGCCTTGTGTTTGCCTGAGAGAGGCAGAGAGGGGAGAGGAGAGGAGAGGAGGGGAGGGGAGGGGAGAGGAGAGAAGCAGGAGAGGGCGGGCGGAGGAGAGGAGGAGCGCGAGGGAGCGATAGAGGTCGCGGCGACATTAGAAGGGCGAGCCATTCCCTATGACAGTAAGTCAGTAGTACATAGACAGCATTGCTGAGCATTCCGTGAGCCATTAGCAAGGCCTCTACGTGGTCGTCGATTGTAGCGAGCTGCCGTGGCATTCTTGAAGCCAGCACCACAGACTCTCACGTGTGAGGCCTCACCTGATATGAGCTCTTGCCACCGTGAACCGTACGGCAAGGACACGGCTGCCCACATCACACTGTACAACTCTGACGCAGTGTGAGAGGCAGCAAAGCAAAGCCACGGTATCATCGCTCGCTCCATCGTTTTCTTGTCCCTTGACATACTGCGTACGGGCAAGCACAGCGCGCTTCGAGTTCGCACCAGCAAAGATCGAGATAGACCTGCTCCTAACACAATGCTCTCGATTTGAAATGGTATCTCACCTCTGCAGTCTTTCCATCAAGCCTGGTCGGCCTCGACTTCAGTAATTCAGTCCTGAATCTCGTCTACTCTTCACCAGTTTTCTCAAACCTGGTCGGCCTCGACTTCAGTAATCCTCGTCCTGAATCTCGTCTACTCTTCACCAGTTTTCTCAAGCACGGCGTAGGGCGCCTCAAGCATCTCTGCCACCGCGAGCGGTATCATTACGCTTTGTATCACGAGCAGAGCTGGATCGCTTCGCGTCCTACCACGATCCGCCCGGCGACATGGCATTGGTTCAGTCGCATTCGAGAACAACAGCGCGACTCGCAGTCGGATCAGGCGTGGGGATTTTCGCGGTCGATGGGTGGGATTCATAGCTGGTATCATCGGAGAGCGACTGATGGAAGAGGCTCGCCGTACGACAGTATCAAGAGCAATACAGAGAGCATCTACAGCGGTATCTATCGATGAGGTGAAGTCAAAGACAAGCATGTGGGTCTGAGTTCTATATATGGCTGCCATCCGTCAGTTGCCGATACCACGTCTCGGGGTCTCGAGCCTTTCTTGGAAGGCTGGAACTGAGACCGCGCCTACTACATACGAATCACAAGCGACCGCTCACCATGTCGCGTCCCGTGAGGCACTTGGACCTCAGGTAATGATGTGCACAGCTGCAATCGCGATCGTTCGCTGTACAGCAAATGTGCTCCCTCTCACAAATACTACGCGAAGGTCCAAAGCCAAAGAAGATTCAACATGGAATCGAGAGAGTCAGCGCTCAGAATTCGTCCAGAGCCATTGTGAACTGAAATGCCCTGCCTACCATTTGTGCAACACGCCGATGACGAGAACGGGAGAACGCATGATGATGCAGGCTAGGCAATACTGATCGTACGCGATCTGGTGATGTTACAGAAACACCTGATTGGGTCTAGATTCAGTTCTGGTTTGGACTCACGTCACTGAGCACTGAAGCTTTGTCAACTTTGTTGGCGAGAATGCCTTACCATTCTATGATTCACGCTTCCGTCTGTTGTTACATAGAATAATCCTTCCAGCTGCTAATCCTTGTCGAAAGTATATCTCAACCACTCTCCCACTGCTCTGAGGGCTTCCCATCGAACCGTTTCATTCTCGTCCTGCATGAGTCCCATGACTCTAGCTTTTAGACCGGCCTTTTCCAGCTGCGTTCGCTTATCCGGGCAGTTCTTGACGAGATTCGCAACATCATTGCATCCAATGGCGAGGACTTGCTTGTCGTTCTGCCAATCTTTGCCGAGAATCTCTGCAAGTTTCTTGCACAGTGCTCCCTTTCCCTCCTCGATGATGCGTTGGGCATTTTCTCGCCAAAAAGCTTCGTTCTTGTGAGGCGGAGACCAGCGGAGGTGACCTGAATTGATCTCTGCAGCGTATTCGTCGAAAGTCGTTTGCGATTTAGTGTACTCGTCCAGCATACTTGTGAGGCTTTCCAGGTCCTCAAGAAGATCGGGGTCTGTAAGATGTCGGGATTTAAGGTTGGCGAGGATTGTAGGCAGTTTCGCGGGGAGGGCTGCAGGCATGAGTGTCGATCGGTTGTAGGATAGGAGGTTGTTCAGAGTGCCGAGCATCAAGCGTGTCGTCTTTTCCTTTGGCGAAACTCGCAGTAATTGGGTGTAAAGTGGAACTATATCGTGCTCCTCGTCCAAACCTTTGCCCACCAGTTGGCCCTCGAATGAAAGCTGCCAGAGCACCATCAGGATATGGTACAGCAGTTGCAAACCAACTCCGGATATCTTGATGTTGGCCTCGTTCAAGGTCCGTATGCTGGAAGCGCTAGAGGCTCCGTTGTATTGGGTGCTGTCGCTATCCTTGCCGCCCGTCGCGTTTCTCAACACGTCCATCAGCGGACCAAGCGTCTCTTTTCGCTGTTTCCAGAACTGCTGTCTTGATTTGCTTGTTCGTAGCAGGGCGCTGTATTCTTGCACTGCAATGTCTTGTAGATTCGAGTCGGATGTCTTGGCAAGTTCGGCAATGTACGAGTAGAGCTTGGGTAGAGCTTCGTCAATCTCAGGCGTTGATTTGGACTGAGCGATCAGCGCATGCGAAAAAAGCGAGGATAGCACGGAAGAAGTGAGTAGTGGAATGGGGTCCTCCGGGTTGTTCGACTGCTTGAGCAAGGGTAGTAGAGGCTTGAATGGCTGAGTGTGCTTGATCAGCGATTCGGTCAACGCGGGAATGTCTAAGCAAGATGTCAGTATGGTATCTTTCGCCTGGCATCAAGGTGTAAAAGCTTGCCATCGATTAGGTCGCCAGTCAGGACAAGCATGTACTGCAGGATATCTGTCCGTTTCGCGGCGCTCTCGAATATGCTCCGTGCTTGCCCATTGTCGCCAAGCAGCAGTGTGGTATATGTGTGGACATCGTCCTCGATGGTCTGCTTCCGCTGCTCTTTTCGCACTTTGTCTATCGCCTTGATCTTCTTGAGATCTTCATCTGTGATCGTCTTCGCTCGAACTGCTCCCTCCCACGAGATCGGCCGCGCGCGAATGTTGTTCTGCAGCGACACGATATATGCTGGCGCGTCGATTGACATGGTGTCTGCGGAGGCAGAGTTTGGAGTGTATCTTTGGCTGTGTTGTTTGGAGTGTAAGCGGCGGTATTGAGACCTGGAGCTCTCACTGCCTTGTTGACGTCGTTCTCCAAGCGAAGCGAAGCTCCGTGCATGGGCCCAAGTCAAAAGCCGCGCCTCACCTCACAGCAAGGGAGTGGGAGTTCATCTGCAACCTCTTCGGCATCAATTGCTGTCTGTTTCCTATGCGACGGCGAGATATGACTTCAATAGCGCCACAAGACTTCCCATATGGTATGTTGTCCTCCAGGACCGCTCCGACCGCTCCTCGATCTACTCTCCTTTCTGCAGCTTGACTTGAGCTCAACGTACTTTTGGCTTATGCATTCGCTACATGTACTCTCATGGCCTATTCCTCTATCATCCCCTCGACATGTCTTGAAGTCTGCACTCGCTCATGCCGTGCAGAACCCGTGGAGCAGCAGTCCTTATGCTGTGGTACTTATTGAGCCCGATCAGAGGCACAACACAGCCGCCTAGACTGTCTGCCAACCACCCAATCCGCAAAGCCTTCTATCGACATGGCAAGACTACAGCCACCCACTGGCTCCTTACCATGCTGGTGTCGGTCGCCATTGCCATGGGCTTTGCATATCCGAGCATCGCACTCTCAGACAACCCGACTGCGGGCATAGCGGCAATCCCGCATACCGTTTGGACGATTGCCAAGCCCATCGACGACGCGACTGCTCAAGTGGACATCGAATTGCGCCAGATCTGGATCCATGGCTCGTTCATGAATGCGCTTGATAAGGATGTTTTGAAGCGCGCTTTGACTATTCAGCAAAGCTTGGTCGGAGACGACAGCTCCAGCAACACCATCCCGCGCCTCGATGACAAGCTGCGCTCTGGCACCTTGCAGTGGGGCTATCACTCTCCATTGATGTACTGGAACAATTCACACCATGCCATCGATGCTGATACAGATCTGCTCGAGACCATCAACTCCCGCACGCGGACCTCTTCCTCTCTCAACGTGGGCATGAGACCAGCCTCTGTATTCGCCGGAAAGAAATTCGAGGGCAAGAAGCTCATCTCTGCTGATGCCTTGGTGATCACGCTCATGAACAAGGCTTCCGACAGCATTGGACAGCACTGGGAATCGCGGATGCAAGACCTCGGCCACTTAACCTGTGATACATGTACTCTCTTCCCGGCGAACGGCCGGGTCACCAGACAGCGTGTCTATGAATTCAGCTTCACGCCCCTCAGCTTGCCTGAACATACTGCCCTTACGCTTGCGTATTCTGCAATGGCACTCTATGTAATTTTCAGCTTCCGGAGGATGAGAGCGTTCCACAGCCGCTTCGGCTTAATGTCTGCAGCTATCTTTATGATGACTTGCTCCATCCTGGCCAGTCTTACAATATGCGGAATACTCAAGATCAACCTGTCCACCATCCCTCAAAACGCATACCCGTTTGGTAAGTGCATTCCGTGACACCATGCACCTTTGATGAAGCACCTGCTGATCTGTCAACGACTGCCATCAGTTGTGCTCGTTCTTGGAGTAGAGAACATGTTCAGGTTGATCAATGCAGTGCTCGCCTACCCTCCGACAATGGCGACTGAGCTGCGGATTGCCAATGCCTTGGGAGATGTCGGGCCGCTTTCCATCGTAGCCGCAGCGCAGAACCTCACAATTCTCTCGCTTCTCAGTATGGTGGTGTCACCAGGAGTGGCGGCGTTCTGTGTGTTTGCCGCAATTGCTAGCATCTTCGATGCCTTTTACCTTCTTACTTTCTTTGTCGCTGTGCTCAACGTCGACATTCGGCGTCTGGAGCTTCAAGATGCTCTAGCTGCTAGACACAACAAGCCGCGCCATAGAAGAAAAGGATTGCCTGCACAGCATACCTGGCTCGATGCACTGATCCAAGGTCGACTTCCTCTTAGGTAAGCGAGGTGCTTCGTGACCACCACGTTCCCGCTGGCTAACGCCCTCAGCACGCGGATGGCAGGTACAGCTGTCACTACAACATTTATTCTATCCTTGAATTACCACTTTTTCGAACAAAGAGCCGGTGCCACCAATTTGCGTGATCTCCTCGGACTGGTACGTGGTGGGCCGCTAGCAGCTGACGATTTCGACTCGTTCACGCCACCGCCAATGAATGCCACACTGACTCCCGCAGAGTGGATGCGGATGCAAGACTTTGATACAGCGAAGGAAGTCCTGAAACTTGCAAAGCCCGGTGCAGACAAGTTCATCATGCGGCTTTTCGCGCCACTCGTTGTTGTTCTGGGAGGATCAGATCGGGCTGGTGTGCATAGCACGCGTGAACTCTGGACCCAGGCTTTACGCAGCTTCGCAGTGCATCACTTTTACCCAGTCGCTGTTGCTATTGTCTTTGCAGTCGCATTTGTTGCTGTGCTCATGAATTTCCTGCTCTACAGCGAAGCTGGAGACGAAGATAACGAGATGACATTGGAAGATCTAGAAGACAACCTCACCGCGACCTCGATCAATCTGCCCCACCGGCTGGATATCGTCAAGATGGCGAGCAATGACAATGGGCACTTTGTCACTATTGGTCTCGATCGGACAATTGCTATATCGGTGTACGATGCTATCTCGCAAGCTCATCATGCCACCGGCGTGCCACAGAACATTCTCAAGGCAATTGAGTGGCCAATACATCACATTGCCGTCGATGACAGCGGTGATTGGATCGCTTGCCACTGTAGCGACGATCGCATCCTCGCGTACAACCACGTCAAAGGTATCGCGATCTCTCGACTAGTGCAATACCCAGATGACCACCCAGCAACAATTTTTGACTTCGCCTTCCTACCCTCAACAACTGGCCCTAGGCCATCCTTTCTGGTTCTCACGTCTGGCAGCCGACTTGCTATGAGCTGCATGGACGATGGACTCTCTTCTGGAGCAGATCTGTCGCCTTTTCCACTCATGGGTGCAGCGCTTCTAGACTCCGCCCAAGCCGGCAAGCAGATAGTGATCGTCACCATGGAGGCCAAGCTGATATCGTATACCTGGAGTGGTGAAAGCTGGCTTCTGGCGAACGCTACTACGCTTCAGCTCGAGACCGAAAATGGCAGCTTGGTAGAACAAGTAAGCTTGCAGAGATATTGGGATTTAGATACTGAGCTGCTAATCGTCACGACATCCTCGCGAGCATTGTTTTTGGATAGTGCCACTTTGGGACATCTTGCCAACTTCGACCTTAGCTCGGCAGGCACATCGATCGAAAGTATCCTCATCGGCCCTTCTAGGAAATGCCCGGCCTGCTCAACCCTCGCACTAAGAAGGGCGGCTGCCGTTGGCGCAGGAACCCCAAAAGACTCCTGCAGCCTTACCACCTGGTTTGTCAGTCAGGAATCAGAAGCTTGTATCTGCTTGGCTCAGCAGAGTGCATTGTGCACGTCTTTCCGCAACGCAAGCCAAGCCACAATCGTGATCGACTCGCCAGGTGCCTGGACACTCGTGAAGAGCGAAGCCATCATGGGGCTACGAAGGCGATCAGCGCAGCAAGATGTGGCGACGTTGGAAAAGAAGAGACTTACCACTGCACAATTGCGCCAAAGACGACGTGCGCAGCAGAAAACGCAAGCAGAGGAGCAGTGGGAGGCATATAAGCTTTCTATCGATGGAGACCTACAAACGTTTGATCTGCCTGCGGGAGAAGTCGACAATCTGTTCGTGAACAACCCTGGACCAATCGCCGCTCTCGATGGGCACTCTATCGCTGTAGCTCTGGGCAACAGCATCAAAGTGATTCGAAGTTCCCGACGGGGAGGAAACGCATCTCGAAGGTCACGCATGAATTCGATAGACCGGTCAGGCAGTATCTCGAAACGTCCCAATGGCAGGAAGACGAGGTGAAACGTTATCATTTAGCAAAAAGAATTTACAAACCCATCCCATCCATCTATTGTAACCGAGTTTTGGTTGGTATCATCCCTTCTAAAAAAAACGCCTCAACTCCACTCCCTTGGTCTCAAGATCCCGCATCAATCTGATCCACAACATTCCGTCTCGAATACGCATCCCAAGCATCACAAGTCTTCCCCCTTTCCCCCTCCGGGATTTTCGGAATCTCTTCTTTCCTCGTAAGGAAATTCACAGCCAAACCTCCACTCAAATGCCAAGCGACATGACAATGGAAAGGCCAGATCTAATCAACAAACGAGGGCGGTCAGCAGCAGTCAAAAAGCAGAGTGAATCGGCGGTCTTACCCCCGGATTTTCCCCCGCCCAAAACCCAACAACCAAAAACCCCCCAGCAGGAATCATCTCCGTATCCCTCCTCATGGGATTTTCCATCCCCACCACGCTCCCATCCCAAACCCCACCCCCCGGTCGTCCCTGTGCCAAAATCTGAAGATGAAACCCATGCATATGAAAAGGATGAGAAATCGGGGTGTCATTCGTAAGATTGAGAACCACATATTTTGTTTCTTCCTCATCACCCAAATCATAAGCATTCGAAAACGGATTTTCCGAAAATCGGGAAATGTTGTAAAGAGCGGGTTCGTTGAAATTTGCTTTGGAGGTTTGGTTGTTGATGCGCCATTCGAAGGAGCCGGTGGAGTTGAGGGCGAGGGTGAGGAGGAGGTTGAGGTGTGTGGTGGTGGAGGAATTTTCTTGTGTCGGGTTGGTGGTGATGGGGGCCGGGAGGAAAAATTCGGGGGTTGTGGGGAGGAGCGGGGTGCAGTTTGTGTCGGTGGTGAAGGGGAGGGATGCTTGGGTTTTTGGGGGGAGGGAGGGGTTGGAGCCGGAGTAGTAGAGGGCGGCGTGGACTTCTCCTGCGGCGGAACCGCCGCATTCGGGGCCCGAGAGGGTGCGGGTGCGGATCCAGAATTTGTCGGTGGAGGTGTTGTCGGCTGTTACGAGGACGTCGGCGCGTTGGCCGACGGCGAGGGTGATGGTGTCGGTTGTGTAGGGGGTGACTGGGACGTAGTCGTAGGCAATGACTTGCATTTCGTGGCCGTCGATGGTGAATTTTTGGACGCCGTCAGCTCCGGTGTTCATTAGTCGGAGTCTGTGGATCTTGCCTGGTTGGAATTCGAATTTGGATAGTTCGGCATTGTCTGTGCAGGACCATGTTGTTTGAGAGCTTACGCCGCTGGCTAGCCATTCAGCGTCGTCTCCGTATGATGGATTTGAGCAATTGAAACGTCCTCGTCCGTTGATGAGCAGACTGTCGGCAGCAGGTGGGATTTGGGATAGATCGGTGCCGACCGCATCGCTGACGATGCTGAAGTATGGGACATGATACCAGTCGGAAAGCATGATAGGGCCGATGTCGATGTCGTAGTCCAGTTGAGATGGGCCATAGACAATGATTGGGCCGAGGACGCCTGCGGTATACTGAGCAGAGTAGTGTGCGTGATACCAGGAACTCCCATATAGTTGTGCGGGAATGGTATAAGTGTAGCTAGAACCTGGAGCAATAGGACATTGGCTGATGCCAGGCACTCCATCCATCCAATTCGAGCCTCTTTGGAGGAATCCGTGCCAATGAATTGCGGTACCTTCCGATGGAGAGTTGATGTTGTTGTGAACGGTGATCTCGATAGAGTCACCCCAGTTTGCTTCTATGGCTGGACCCGGGAACTGGTCGTTTACTAAGATGACATCGCGCTTCACGCCATCTGCTGAGATGACACCCCGTGAAACCGTGAATTCGTACTTTCTCGTGACATTCGTCACCGGAATGTGATCGTTAATTGTGGCATCGAAGAGCTTTGGTGTTCTGTCTCCCCATGGAGCAGTCTTGTACTCCGTGCCGTCGGGCTGTGGTAGCCACTTTGGAAATGTAGGCTGGCATAGAGTGCCCCATGTGGAGTTTCCAACTTGCTGTGCATTCGGTAGAGGATTTTGGGGAAGCTGACACCAGGATTGAGGTCCATGTTTTGTAGGATGTGCGGGCCAGGCTGTTGATGCGGACGTCGTGCTCCGCGAATGTGTTGGCGACAATGTGGGCTTCGGAGCTTGACATGGTGGAGAGGTTGTGACTGTTACGTCGACAGTCGCCTGGACAATCTCGGTTTTGGTGTAGATAGGCGCTGCAGCCTCTGTAGCATTCGCCGTTGAGGTGGTGAGTGCTTGCTCAATGTACTGAGCGATTCCTTTCGTCGATGATGTCTGGTCCAGGTCCGACTGCGAAGATGATGCTTTTGGTGAACGACCAGAAGCGATCGATAAAGCCCGCTCAACCCTGGCATTGCGAGGAGCTCTTCCCAAAGCCCTCTCCTCCCAAGCGAGGACCGACGAAGCTACGAAACCTGCTGTTAGTATAGAAGTGTACATCTTCCCTGGCCGACGATGGTGAAAGAAGAAGTGCCACGAGACAGCATACAAGAGGTATAATATAGGGAGGTCGAGAATAGGCCAGCACGGTCTGTACAGAAGGACCAGAGAATTGCTACCGGCCCCAGACACCTCCCACTTACCTGCCTGGCCAGCATATTAGACATTGTAGCAACACAACCAGAAAAGCCCCGAGCTCCCTATAGTGTAGATGGCAAGGCTGAATGTCGTGAAACCTAGAGACAGCCACATCTATTCAGACCTGAGCCACGCGAGTTCTGTAGTCGGTAACTTAGGGGTAATGATGCGTAGACTCGGGTGACGGGGCTGGCAGTGTGGACAGATGTTTGGCGCTGTGAGCACATGGGAAATGGGCTCTGCATCGGCCGTCGGTATTGCGATATTCTTGCTTCTGACTCCATCTCCTTGCTATGCCGAGACGATTCGATTTTAGCTGTATCGCCCTGGAAACGCGATGCGATGCCATATGGCATGCAACAGATAGATTGATGCGAGAGGATCGAGTGCGAGTGAGCGAGGAAGGGGTGAGATGAGGAGCTTTCTGTGATCTCCACCTGGCGCAGCTCAACGGCTTGTACCACGAACACCAAAAACACATGGCAATTCGATTTGCGTCAGCGCAAATTGATGGCAATGGCAATGCTCCTCGGGAACAGCATGTCATCGCATTTCACTTACTGGAAAGCCGCCATGTCATTTAGATCCAGAGGACATAGCATTTCGTCCCGAACAGCATCAAGACTATACCCGTTGCATCATGAATTCGGTTGTCATAACAGGTAACGTACCAGAGATGGTCTACCGTCTACGTCGGAAATTTTTAAGAGGTCGGCAGACTGGGACTCCACGTTGATGCTCGTGGCTGGGAGATGCGCGGGCACACAACTGAGCGTTTACTCCCACCATCTTCATCAACGGTGGAGATTTCTGACTCTACTGACTGCATCTCCTGATCTATCCTTCGCACTGTCGCACAGCGCGGCGAAGCTTGCTGCAAGCTCCATAAATATAACACAGGGTATCTTTCCAAGAATCAATGTTCAATGCCATCCCAAACGCCGCGCTAATTCGTAATGTCCGCTCTTTCGTTGCGTTGCATCCTGTACAACTCGCCCATCATCTGCCTACACGAAGGACTTCGCGGACCAACTTCCTGCCACGGACGGTATCGTCGACGCCGGCGCTGAGCTGTTGTGGGGGGCTTCGGGGTCGGATTCTCGACGTATCGTGTCTTGCGGAGGCGTGTTGTTGAGGGTCGCCTTGCGCGTGGTGGTGCTTCCGGTGCTTTGCTCTAAAGCTTTCTTTTCCTCATTCCGACTGCTGAGCGCATCCATGTTAAGGATGCGATCGTCTCGCATGAACTCTTCGAGCGTCATTCCGCGAGATGCGGTGCCCTTCATGCGAAGGCCTCTCTCGATGTCCAACCCTTCCTTCCCGCTCGAAAGCCAGTGCGGAATAAAGTCATGCTCTGTGCCTCGTCTACTTCTGTCGTTTCCAGATATGCTCAAGCTTGTTTTCGTTGCCGTATGAGAGGCACAAACAGATGTCTTGATGCCACACATCTCCAAGAAGAAAGATATCAATTTCCAGACGAAAGGGAGATTCGCAACCAGGATGGCTGTTGAGCTTTCCCTCACGTACCAATAAGTCCATAAGGAGCCAAAAGGATCAGAGAAGGAGTAGACTTTGTTCAGGATAGCTGCAAGGACAACAAAGATACCGAGGGAGAAGACGCCGACCACGGGTATCTTCTTTCGCCAGGGTAGGTGCATCCTCAAGAAAATGGGAAGAGCAACAGCCAACATTATGAGGTCTGAACTCAGGTTGAAGGTCGCGTTGGTGATCAGATGGTTCGTGGCAGCATTGCATTGACTACTGTCAGTCGGGACGGCCCAATATTCGTGGAAAGGTCGGCACCAGACTCCCAGGTAAAGGATCTCCATAACCACAAAGGCTATGCCGACGTATGCTGCGAGGACCTGGATGGCGATATGCTGCCATCGGAGTGTGGTCAGCCTCAGATAGAGAATCAGGAGACATGCCTTAGCTCCCCAGATTGAGACGATTTGACATTCCTCCACTACCAGGATCAATTTGCTGCCGTATTCCCGTGTGGCTTTGTCGGCTGCCGTAAGCGTAGAGATATCGAAGCCCGGCGGAAACAGGTTCGACGAGGTATTTGCGACGATGTTGATGGTAACCAGGAATGTTGTGTAGAAGCATAGGACCAAGATCATGACATAGTCGTCGGCCTGATACCTGCGAACGGACCGCAGAGTCATCCATCGTGAAACACTGAGCATTTGTCAGCGAAGTGATGCATCAAGTTGATCAATGTGCCACTCCTTACAATCTTGCTGTTGCCACTGCCATCACAACCGAGAACCAAACCCAAGATTCAATCCTGAGCGGTGTCATGGTCGTGCGAAGCGAATGCAAAGCTTTCACTCACGTCACAGGGATCTTGCAATGGAAAGCCGTTTTTTGTGAGCGCCGGGGCATGATTGTCTCTCCCAGCCTCCAGCAGCCAGAAGGCAGCGACGCCGCGAGGTTCAAAAGCTGTCAGCGTACTGTCCTCCGTATCTCGAGCGTACTGTTGAGAAGATAACAAGGAATTGGAGGGGTCTAGTAGATGTGCTGCAGGAGCTGAATCCACATGATTGTGGCGGCGCCCATTTCCCTGTTAGAACTCGCGGCCGAAAAGGCGCCTGTACTACCCTGGGTACCCATAAGGGGATCGGTCAAGCCTTGGTCACACCAGGTCCCTTTCCAGCCGAGCGGGCAACCCGAGAAGGGTCGCGGCGGGCTATCAAGGGGCGCGACTATTTTACTTATATTCTCTACCGCTAGACCTCACCGTCGCCGCTATTTTAACCGCTATTTTAACCTTACTATTGCTATGCCTTTTCGTCGCTCTATAGTAGCTATATTATTACGCCCTTCTACGTAGTTATAAGCCGAGTATAATATAGCTATTACCGCCGCTACGCCTATTTAATTAGAAAGTAATATATATAATTTGTAGCGCTTCTAGTTATAAAGAATATATAGTAAGAGGCTATAGTAAGAGCGAGAGCTATAGCTAGGCAAGCTTAGAGGCCTTAAATTATAGATTAAGTAGATATATAGACCGAAGGACTAGCTAGCGTACTAATAGTAGGAGTGTATCGACCGTTAGTATTTAAAGTAATTCCTTTTAGACCTCTAGCGCTACTAGTACTACGAGAACGTTTACGTAAGGGCTATATATATAAAACGGGTTACGGCTTATAGGAGGTATAAGTACGTTAAAGATAACGTAGACTACTATTCTAACTATTATAAGTATAGGTAGTATAATAGAGTACCTATATAGGAGCCTTCGGTATCTCCGAGAACTCTACTAGTATCTACGGCGCTAGCGGATATACTAGATTTTACTAAGATTATATAGTAGGAGCTATACGTTAATACGAGGATTATAGAACCTTATTTACTAGGTAGGTAGTATATCTAGGGCAGTTAGGACTAGCTATAGTATCGAATTCTATATCTATTATTTACTTAGTTCTTTCTTCCTATATTATAATTCTACTAAGTAGCTAGTATAGGCATTAGAAGTCTCTATGCGATATAATACTATATAGATTGCTACTAATATTATAGTCTTACCGAGACCGGAGCGGCCCTAGGTCCGTAGATTCTCGAATAGCTAGAGTAGACTCTCGAATAGTCTCGCCCGCTATTAGGGTAGCGGACATGCGAGAACGATCGTACGTAAAGGATAATCGGCTAGCGACGTACACGTAGTTAGGGCAATGCTTCGAAGGCAGCGACATTATCCTACTACGTTACCGCCTATATATAAATAACATTTATATAGGAAGATATATTAACGATATATTAACACCTTGCATCTATATCTTTAGCTTATAAACGAGTAGATAGAAGGCATCGGAATGCAGTGCTAGCTTTAGCGCTAGGCATAGTACTATATATAGAGGCTAGCTACCCCCTCTACTACTAAGCGATTAACTTTAACTAGGTTTCTATAGATATAGGTATTCTTATATATTAGGAAATTTAGCGTACTACTATTTGTAATAGTAGTTTACTTCCGGAGGGCGTTATCTACTAAGTTAGTATAGTTTGCCTAGTAATCGACGGTGCTTTTCCTATTCTAGTACTATAGTAACTTTGTCGGTTATACTTCTAGTTCTAACCTTACCCCTATAGCTCTTTCTTATATATAGATCTAGCTCTTTCTATAATAGCTTAAAGAGCACATCTATTATTATTGCTGTTATTATTGTCGTTACTATGCCGCCTATCTTATCTAAACTAGTATCGCTATTTAGGCCTAATCGTGTGCTATATAATATAATCGATATCCGAGAGTAGCTATTTAATATACCGTAGGGGTTGACGTACGAGCCTAAGCGCTTCGAGGTACTTAAGGCTTATATTAGCAACGTATATACTAAGGAGTCTTAGTCGCCGAGAACGAAGAATAGCTTAGAGCAGCGGTCGCACTAGTATTGCTGTTATAGGCGCGATTAGTAGCAGAATAGGGTGCTCTCGGAGGGTATTCGTAAGACTAAATATAATAAAGAGCCGTATAACGCTATAATCGTAGTTATATCGCATTTCCGAAGCAAGGAACAGTCTAATTCGTACTAGATTAGTGTCCGCCGTTACCGAGTCGACCCTTCTATAGAAGGGGATAATATATACTACTATAACCTAAAATATATAGATAGATAGATAGATATTTCATTTGCCTGTTATAGTGCCTTTCGGCCTATGTAGGTCTGTTTCTATATATTGTTTTAGGTAGGAAACTAACTTAGTTAGTAAAAACCTCCCTCCTATCCTATTTATAAGTGTTGATCTTCCTCGTTTCCTTGTTTTTCTTCCTCTAGGGTATACTAGTGTTATAGTTATTACCCTCTAACTACCTTACCTACTGCCCTGCCCTTCTTTCCCCCTCTTCTTCCCTCCTTCTTATCTACTTCTTAGTTTCCCTTACTAGTGCGAATTGTTATACAAATCCCTGTTTAATAATCTACTTTACTATCCTCTTTAGGTCTTCTTTGCTCTAGATTAGCTTATCGTATTCCCTTTCTATTACTTTTAGTCTCTAATCACTTCTACCTTCTAACTATTAAGGGTAGACTAGTAGTATATACTTAGGGTTCTGAGATTGGTAGCCGTATTAGCAAGCCCTGCTTTCAATTCCTAGGACGTTTCTTCTAAATAGGTAAGATCTGAATCCAATGTGTTTAGATCTAATTTAGATAGCTAGGCTTGCCTCGGCCCTATTTAGGTCCTTGTAGAGCTAGTAGTTATATTAACTAAATTTGATTAGTGCCTTTAGGGTTCCTAGTCTAACTTGTGTTTTGTTCTATTCCTGCTCCTATAGGTGTCTAGCTATTAATTCTGCTAGGCTTTGTTTCTCTCTCTTTAGTTTGTCTTCCTTTAGCCTTGTATTTAGTCCCTAAAGCTCTTTCTCTAGTATTTCTCTTGTTAAGACTCTATAGTGCTCTAGGTCTTTGACTTTCTAGGGAGTTATTTATAGTCTGTCTCGCCTCCTAGTCCTAATGTACTAGGCTTTTATCTTATCTAGTGCCTTTTGGATAGTCTGTTAGGCTAGGTATTCTATTGTCTTTGCTATATATTAGTGTCTTAGTCCCTTAAAGTATTGTTTGACTAGTAGGATCCCTAATTCTATTTCTACTACCCTTATAGGTATAGTTTTGTATACTCCTAGGATTTTCTTTAGGCCTTAGGTTTAGGACCTGCTAACTAGTTACTCGATCCTCTTTAGTGTTTTCTCCTAGGCTGTCTATATCTATGCTCTATATAGCATTGCTAGCTTAACAATTGCTTTATATATAACTTTAGCTTTCTCGAATATAGCCCCCTATATAGAGGCTGTAAGCCTATTAATAGATTGTATGTTAGTATCTGCCCTCTGCTTTGCCTTCTTTACTTATAGTCCCTAATTTAGTTTTAGGTCTAGCTAGATCCCTAGTACCCTAAGCTCTACTAATAGTTGGGTTTCAAAGCCTTAGATAGTAATTGATTGCTTTATATTATAGGTTAATTTAGCCTTGCTAAAGTAGATAAGCTAGTATTTTTCTAGGGCGAATTTTGCTCTATGTCTCTTTACCTATTTTTTATACTCCTAGTACTTCTCTTCTAGGATCTTATAGTTGGTTTCTGTTGTCTTAGACTAGGCTAGGATGTTTGTGTTATCTATAAACCCTAATGCTAATGTATTTCTTGATTCTAGGAGTAGGAGTAGGTCTACTATAAAGATAAGGAAGAGGATTAGGGAGAGTGTTAATCCTTAGGGGATTCCCTTTTTAGTTAGTATTAGGTCTAATTTGAATTTGCCTAGAATAAGCTATATTAACCTTTCCTATAGGAAGGACTAGATGAATTAGACTATCTAGTTTAGTATAGCCTTCTATTTAAGTATATATAGGAGCCTTTTATAGGAGATATTGTTAAAGGCTCCTAAGATATTAAGGGAGAGGAGGGTTGCTACCTAGTTTTGACTATAGTGCTAGATATACTTGATCTGTTCTGTAATTAGTTCTATAGCTGTTAGTATTAACCTCTTCTTTCTTCCTCCTATCTAGCCTTTAGGAAGGATATTCCTTTCTTCGGTAAAGGTTGTTAGCCTTTTAGCGACAATTTTTTCTAGCACCTTGCCTATTGTATTAAGTAGGGCTATTAGTCTATAGGCCTTAAGCTACGTATAGTCTTCCTTCTAGGGCTTCCTTAGTACTACTGTTAGGGACTTCCTAAATAGTCTTAGGTAGTGTCCTAGTGCTAGGCTTTATAAAAAGATATTGGCTAGTGCTAGGGCTAGCCCCTTCCTGTATGCTTTTAGAAGTTTGTTATAGATCTTGTCTTCTCCTAGTACCTTATTGCCTAGAATTTTCTTTAGGATCCTTTTAATAGTTTCGGGTTTAACCTAGGTGTCTCTTAGTATGCCTAGTAGTAGAGTCTCTTATTCTTTCTCCTTTATATCTAATAGGTCTGCTTGTACTTTTCTATAGAAGAAGTGTTAGCCTAGGGCTCTTGCTTTCCCTTCTATTATAGTCTATATTTGTCCTTATTAGTCTATAATGTCCGGGAATTGTAGTAGCATATCTTTATCCTATTTAGGTCTCCTTGCCTATTTAGCTATCCTCTATATCTCCTCTAGTTTCTTTGTAATTATTCCTATTGTAGATCTCTATTCTTGTATCTTGTCCTTCTTAATCTAGATCTTCTTTTCCTAGTAGGCTTTGTTATAGTTGTCCTATGCTTCCTAGGTATAGGTTTGTATCTACTGCCTCCTAGCCTTCCTTGCTACTTTAACCTTCTTTATACACTTACTAGTCTAGTATAGTTGCTAGTATAGTGAATGTTTCTTTGCTAGGGTA